TTAAAATTTATTCAGGGTGCTGTAGTTCTGCCCTGAGTCACTCCAGTATACCTATGGTCGAGTTTGTACTCATCACACATACTTATCGACTGTAATTAGTAACCTCTCTTATAGACTGTAATTAGTAACCTCTCTTATAGACTGTAATTAGTAACCTCTCTTATAGACTGTAATTAGTAACTAACCTCTTATAGACTGTAATTAGTAACCTCTCTTATAGACTGTAATTAGTAACCTCTCTTATAGACTGTAATTAGTAACCTCTCTTATCGACTGTAATTAGTAACCTCTATAGACTGTAATTAGTAACCTCTCTTATAGACTGTAATTAGTAACCTCTCTTATCGACTGTAGTGACCTCTCTTATAGACTGTAATTAGTAACCTCTCTTATCGACTGTAATTAGTAACCTCTCTTATAGACTGTAATTAGTAACCTCTCTTATAGACTGTAATTAGTAACCTCTCTTATAGACTGTAATTAGTAACCTCTCTTATAGACTGTAATTAGTAACCTCTCTTATAGACTGTAATTAATTTATAGACTGTAATTAGCCTAGACTGCAATCTAACCTCTATCGACTGTAATTAGTAACCTCTCTTATAGACTGTGTAATTAGTAATTCTTATAGACTGTAATTAGTAACCTCTTACATTGCAATTAGTAACCTCTCTTCCTCTTATATGTAATTAGTAACCTCTCTTATAGACTGTAATTAGTAACCTCTCTTATCGACTGTAATTAGTAACCTCTCTTATCGACTGTAATTAGTAACCTCTCTTATAGACTGTAATTAGTAACCTCTCTTATCGACTGTAATTAGTAACCTCTCTTATAGACTGTAATTAGTAACCTCTCTTATAGACTGTAATTAGTAACCTCTCTTATAGACTATAATTAGTGACCTCTCTTATAGACTGTAATTAGTAACCTCTCTTATAGACTGTAATTAGTAACCTCTCTTATAGACTGTAATTAGTGACCTCTCTTATAGACTGTAATTAGTAACCTCTCTTATCGACTGTAATTAGTAACCTCTCTTATAGACTGTAATTAGTAACCTCTCTTATAGACTGTAATTAGTAACCTCTCTTATAGACTGTAATTAGTAACCTCTCTTATAGACTGTAATTAGTAACCTCTCTTATACTTAGTGTTTTATTCACACTCATTGCAGCGGCCGAGAGAAGACATGGCTCGCCTCCTTCCCTCAGGGTCAACACTACACCCTCACTGCCCAAAACAGACCATCAGCTACACATCCACTTTCATTTATGTTGAGAACTATAAGTGAGGAATGTGTACACCAATTTGGATGCAACTTTTATTTTGATATTCATCTTTGTCATTACTGCACTAGAAGTCAAATGGAAATAGAACACTCAGGTTAGGATATTTCATGTAAAAGACCCGGCAGTGAGACGCATCAATATAGCTGTAAATTGTTTTTTACTGAGGGAATGAATAAGTCATGCCACCAGTCACGCGTATTAAACTGTTGAAGGTATGGTAAGTGGTGAACAATTGTTTGTCGTATTTTCTTACCTTTATTTACGTATTGGCCACCAACTAGAGGTGGCCATGCCGAGGGGAGGTGGCCATGCCGAGGGGAGGTGGCCATGCCGAGGGGAGGTGGCCAGTTACCTGTGTAAAATTCCTTCATTGTTCCTGATTCCACAGCTTGAGCTGGTAGGCCGTTCCATGGACTACTAGCCTCTGTGTGAAGAAGTACAGTATTTCCTTATATTAATTCTGTATGATAATTTGGCGAACTTGTACAGTAGTTGTGTCCCTCGTGTTGGCGGGGCGTGACATCACAAATAAATGGCCTGGGTTCACGTTTTTCATCCCTTTCAGGATTTTGAATGTTTCAATAAATTTATTACATTTAAAATCTAAACATTTAGGTATCTACAGTCTAGCTTTTACTTGATGTTTACACGTCATTTCTACTTCAATCTTAACCAAAGTAAAACTAGACTTAATTTTACAAGGAATTTAAGAATTTCTCGAGATCCTTCCATACACACGAAGCTGTCAGCAGTCTATATATGAGTCATGACTAGGAGTTTAATATATCTCTAACTTTTGTTTTTTTGTACCGGAATGCAGGATCATTACACAAGGATGCATTTTCTCTTATCACCATACAATTGTAATGCTATAATACCCGCTGGAACCATCACATCTTAACATACAATCATTTCCTTCTTTTATGTAACCCTTACATTTGAAGGTTGCATAAAAGGCGCCATATTGTGTCAATTATATATTTACTGAGGTCTTAGGCCCAAATTAGAATAATAAAAAAAGGACAGATATGGTGACAGGAATACCGGTGCAGGAATTTAAGAGAGAGAGAGAGAGACTAATAATATAAAAGTATAGGGATTATTGCTCTGTTGTATAAGATATCCTTTCTATCACGTTTCCTTCACGCACCTCTACTTACACAACAACAAAATCAGTAACTTAATAGCGGACAAATAAGATAGATATTTATTTATTCAGTAAAATCATCATAAATGTTTACATTGCAGGTAGCCATCAACAACCCATCATAACCCATTTAAAAAGGATTCAAATATATACCATCCATCCACTCGTTCACACACACAGATGTTTCCTGGGATAACCAAGAAAAACCACAACGCCTAAGGTAACTGATATCTTGAGATACTCGTGTTGTGCTCTTCACTTTAAAAGCATTCATAAGTTATTCATAGACTCACCAAGCTGTAATAGTAGAGGTGAAATATGAAATGTGGGTTAATATTGACGACTGACCAGCGGACGAGTTATTTGTTTTGCTGTTTGTTTTTTCTTACTCTATTTTCATCAGTGAGTTCTGATATGATAATCAAGTAATGATTATTAATCATTACTTATGCAAATGCTTCGTTTAGTAGTGAATTAGGCGCCTAGGCGCTCACTACTTTGTCTTCTCGGTGGTAATGCGGTGGTGACGTCTCATCCCAGGATGTGAACAGCCAATCATATTGACGAAATTCAAAACACCTAATGTCACTCGTTTAGTTGGGGTCGCTGCTCTCATGTCCACAGAAAACGTAAAATTACACCATAGTATCATTGTAAGTTCTTTCTGTTTAATACACGGGGGAGGTATAGGTTGGTGAGGTCTTCTAACAACTCTTCTGCTGCTTGTTTTTCATATTAACTAAGGTTATGTTAGGTTTAACTCAGAAATAACCACTTTTCAGCACATTTACACAAACTACGACAGTGTCCACTACAAAACACAGTGAAAATGCAGCGTTTTTATAATCGTTTTCTCTGAAAAATCGGCCGCGGGTCAGTCCTCAATAATTACCGAAATCTCTCTCACTCTAACAGTCAAGAACAATGACAAAGTAATAATAAACTGGCGAGCAAAAGAGTAGAAGAAAGGCAGAATAAGTGGCTAATAGGATAACGAATATACATAGACCTGGATAGCTGGATAACCTTAGCGGTAGTGATAGCGTGTAAGACAAGGAGCTAAGCCGACATGAGAGTGCTGGAACTATCTATAAATCATCAAGAACTTGCGTGACCATTACTTACCTTTCCATCCCTCACTCACTCCCTCCCTATCCCTCCTTCCTACCCTCCCTCCCCAAGTGACCCACCTGCTTAGTTTTTTGTGTCTCTTAACTTCATGACCTTTCACGGAGTTGACCTTCCGTCTTCACCTTGCATGACTCAATGACGAACACACGATCACACATGCCTCCGTTTTTTCGTAAATTACTGGGGAGACTCTTTGGTACTTTAGTTTTAAGGGGGTTCAGGGAGTTGGGTTCAAGGATTTGGGTTCAAGGAGTTGGGTTCAAGGAGTTGGGTTCAAGGAGTTGGGTTCAAGGATTTGGGTTCAAGGAGTTGGGTTCAAGGAGTTGGGTTCAAGGAGTTGGGTTCAAGGAGTTGGGTTCAGGGAGTTGGGTTCAAGGAGTTCGGTTCAGGGAATTGGGTTCAGGGAGTTAGGTTCAAGGAGTTGGGTTCAGGGAATTGGGTTCAGGGAGTTGGGTAATGCTGCGTGGGTTAGCCTTTACGGCCCTGGTATAATGCCTGGGTTACTGTGGTATGTTATAGACAGGGTATACTCGCCCACAGTACCTCCAACACCCACACTCAGCCCACAGTACCTCCAACACCCACACTCAGCCCACAGTACCTCCAACACCCACACTCAGCCCACAGTACCCTCCCAACACCCACACTTCAACCCACAGTACCTCTAACACCCACACTCAGCCACAGGCCTCCAACACCCACACCTCCACAGTACCTCCAACACCCACTCAGCCCACAGTACCTCAACACCCCTCACAGTACCTCCAACACCCACACTCAGCCCACAGTACCTCCAACACCCACACTCAACCCACGCCACCCACTCAGCCCACAACACACCCACACTCAGCCCACAGTACCTACCTCCAAGCCTCTAACACCCACACTCAGCCCACAGTACCTCCAACACCACACTCAGCCCACAGTACCTCTAACACCCACCTCAGCCCACAGTACAGTCACCCACCCTAACACCCCTCAGCCCACAGTACCTCTAACACCCACACTCAGCCCACAGTACCTCCAACACCCACACTCAACCCACAGTACCTCTAACACCCACACTCAGCCCACAGTACCTCCAACACCCACCTCACCCACAGTACTCCAACACCCACACTCAGCCCACAGTACCTCTAACACCACACACTCAGCCCACAGTACCTCCAACACCCCACACTCAGCCCACAGTACCTCTAACACCCACACTCAGCCTACAGATGTCAGGAGAACTTGACTTACAAAGATAGTCACCAAAATCTCTCTCTCTCTCTCTCTCTCTCTCTCTCTCTCTCCCTCTCTCTCTCTCTCTCTCTCTCCCTCTCTCTCTCTCTCTCTCTCTCTCTCTCTCTCTCTCTCTCTCTCTCTCTCTCTCTCTCTGTTTGTCTTGTTACAGAACTCTTTGTGTATTTGATAGTGAAAAACATTAGTGATAATTTGCATTTATTGCGGTTTATTAAGGTACAGTGATATACGACGTTGATGAGAGAGATAAATGGAGATAAAAAGATCCATAGATAAATAGATAAAAAGACAGAGAGAGAGAGAGAGAGAGAGAGAGAGAGAGAACGGAAGAGAAAAAAGTTAAGAGATCTATAGACAGAAAACTGATGAGGGAGACAGAGAGAGAGAGAGATTAGAAAAAGTAAATGACAGAAGAAGACGTATAGAGGCAAACAGAGAACCCAAGTACTATAAATAAGTGCAGAGAGACACCAAGAGAAACACAACCGAACTCAAAGCAAGACTAAAATAGAGAGAGACAGAAGCACAAACAATGAAACGAAGACAATTATAAAGTTATTTAGAGAAAGGGAGAGAAAGAACCAATTCCGTGGTGATCATCAAATCGTTTCATCCAACAGGTCTTCAGTCTTGCCAGAATCTGAACCCCAATGTCTCTCCCAGGAAGCAGACAAGAGCGGACATCACCCCTGCAAAACAATAATTAAGTCAAGTCAAGTGTACGAGCTTGTTTATATAGGGGTCGGACTAAGAGGTAAGGAGATGCGTTTATTTAATATACGGAACAGCTGTTGTAGGTGTCATCTATTTGTCCCCATTACCATACTGTTGATGTGTTTGTGTATATTGTGATCTGACGTAAGAAATAGGGTTCGAAATATGGGTGTACTGCACTCTGAATCACGAATCAAATGTGATGATTTGCCTGTATTGTTAATGTGAATCTTTCGTTATTATTTGTATTTTACCCTTCTTAAGTTTTATATGTGAACTTTAAAGTCTTTCAATAAGTTAAAGAAGTTATTTATAAATCTTAAAGTTATTTAACATTTTTTTTAACTTACTGAATGCAAAAATATATCTCTGGTTTTGAGGCATGTTGTTGTGGACGATTGCAAACACTTGGACAAAGATTGCAAGTGAAAAATATAACACAAGAAAATTATTGGAACAACACACACACACACACACACACACACACACACACACACACACACACACACCCACACACACACACACACACACACGTGCAAATAAATATAAACAGACATACTATCATCCCTTCTCTCCCTTCCCTACTCTTCCTCTTCTCCTATCTACCCTCCTCCCCCTCTTCTTCCTGGCCCATGACCTACCAACAGCCAGCAGGAGGAAGGGCCCGGAGAGATCGTGTAGTGTGAGAGGGTAGAGACCAGGGGGCCGGTCCTTGGAGGGGTGACGAAGGCACTGGGTCGCGTTGTTGATGTGCTCTGACCTCCACTTACCCAGGATCCCAGACTCCTGTAGTTGGATCAAGCTGAGGGGAAGACGGGAGGTCACGAGAGGTCAAAGTCTAGCTGAAGAAACGTTAATGTAGGTTTCGTTCTTCGACCCGTAAATAACAGTGAATAATACTAATAATAATGAACTCGTGAGCAACTTAATAATTAGAATCTCCCCATGACTAATCGTAAATAATAACCAACACATGTATAACAGTGAATAATACTCATCATCAACTCACATCTTGTTGGCCCTGGGTAAGTGAGGTGAGTTCTTCTGAAAGGCGACAGAGACGGGGAAGTTTGAGTGTACCGTCTCCTTGGCCATATATAGGTGACACTTCCCGTTCATACTGTTAACAGGAGATGCAACAGAGAGGTTAACAGTATAGTACAGTACATACATACATACATACATACATACATACATACATATGAGTTTCTTAATCAGTATGGTAAAAAAAAACATTATTTGAACTCCACTTGTAGGGTTCGAAACAAGGCTTGCCAAGTCAGACAATATTACCACCAGTCCGTTACAGTCGGAGTGGTGGCGTAGTGATTATTTCTAGAGTATTAATGGTACTCTATCAGTCCTATGTTCGAACCCCTTGTGATTTTAAGTTAGGTTAGGGTAGTTTAGGTTAGGTTAGGGTAGGTTACGTTAAATTAAGGTAAATTACGTTAAGTTAGGGTAGGTTACGTTAAATTAAGGTAAATTACGTTAATTTAGGGTAGGTTACGTTAAATTAAGGTAAATTACGTTAAGTTAGGGTAGGTTAAGTTGGGTTAAGTACCAGTAATATACCCACACCACTAACTTGTTATAAAACCCCCAAACTGATTCACTAATATCTCTTCTATTTCAACCTGTGTGTGATATGTGACGTTAGGGCCACATAATTCACACGTAATGTACAACTGACACAGAGAATTGACAAAAGAAGAAAAAGAAAATCAATTTAACCCGTAAAATAGAAAGAATGGAGTCAGTCTATAACCATAACGCCCAGATTAAAGACATGAGAGAATGAATAACTTACTAGGCTGTCCAAACTCACAGGCGTGTAAACAGACAAAGGAAGGTACAGTGCAGTATCTCAAGAAGCCAGGCCCATATAAGAATGAATAACAAATGCGACTGACGGAATGAATGTGAAAGAAACTCGATTAATAATTAACTTGAATGAACAAAGTGAATGTATGTGTAAAAGTAATATTTAATATATTAATTTATATGCAATGTGTGTATGTCTGTTTTATCTATGTATATTGTGTACCTGCAGTGTCTATATACATGCTAAATCAATGTAAATTTGTATGATGATTTTACTTAATATCTATATGTCTATGCAGCCAAGCAAGAGGTTCAGGAGAATGCCAGTGAGCCGTTCGTGTATGTGTGAATTCATTAACAAGCTCCGAGGACTGGACTCACAGGTGTTCGTACGATAATAATAATTATTCCTCTTGGGTCGAAGATTTGAGATTGCTGTACACCTACCTGGTTTGACTTAAAGTAAAATACACAAAAACATAGATGTAAAAAACAGCATCAAATCTGTATTGATAATCTACCTTAATGAAATATGTTTATCGCTGTAGCCGTGGCTGTTGTATCTTAATAAATTGCTCTGGTTCTACTGCAGTATGCGAATAAATCACCACATAAGTATTATTGTATCTGAATAAATCATTACGGTATTATTTACAGTATTGTTTCTCACTGACTTCTTGTAAATGAAACTTAAGACTCTTGATATATATATATAATGTACAGCGACTAGCACTTAAGCTTGAAAGGGATTTATTTACTACGCTGTGTAGCTGAACAAGACGTCTGGCGGCCATACATCACGCCTGTACAGTATTGACGGACTAAGAGGTTACCCCCAAAATACTCTTGTAGTGGAATTCTCCCCTGAAACGCTGTTTGTCGCTGCCTAGCCGACCCCACCAATTCCCCAGTGTATGCCTCGTGGTCTAGGTCAACCAGCGCCGCCATACACCACGGAGCGGGGGTCAACTGCTAAGCCACGCCTACCCCCGCTATTTAAGACCTGACCTCGTGGTGATCTGCCTCTCTTTCTACCTACACCAACCAGCCAGCAACACCTCCGCCTGCCTGGCGGCCCTCGCTCCTCCGCCTGCCTGGCGGTCCTCTCTCCCGCTGGCGAGCATGGCGACCCACAAGCTGTCCTTCTCTGAGCGTCCTCACCAACCAGCTCTCTCTACATCACGCTTGTAACCATGCTGCCTTCCCAGCACCAAGCTGCATTGTACATCCAATACAACATGTATATAGAGAGCACATTGTGAGTTTCCTTTCTCCATCCCATCCTGAGTGTGAACCAAACATCTCATACCCCACACTCTCCTTATACCGGACGTGATGGAGACAAGCCTTTTTTCCTAAGTTTAGGCTAGTGAAAGTTTAAGTACCTTGTATTATCAATATATGTTTGTGATCTACTCGACATTATCAATGGGTATAATTATATAGACGAAGAAAATAATCGCCTAAATACGGTGTTTTGCTTCGTACTTTGGTGTTAGATTAGTTTATGCTGGTTTGCGTTTATGATTGAATGGTTTTTACTTATATTCAATAAAATAAAGTACCATTGTAACCCCGCTTCCCTGTTACGCTTTCGTCGTCAACTGATGGGGTGACGCAAAGTCTAATTAATCCAAGTCAACCCACTTCGAGTCGAAAATTCGTCCTTCGCCACGCATGACGTCATACGTTCGGCGGCCCGTGGCTGCGTGGCACTGGGACTTTAGTTAGCAGCTGGCCGTCGTGGTGTGAAGCTATGTGACATTTCTTGATAACTGCGCCGTATCTGGATACATATCAAATTACAGACTACTTGATAAAAGTTTGATATCAATTTCCAAAGGCTGAAAACCAGAGAAAAAACGTGGATTTTAATGTTCATGCAATAAAATTACTTCAATCCTGCTAATGCAAGGATATGTAACCATCATTTTAAATTGAGAGCCGTTGGCAGGCTTAAATTCAAATTCCCTTAAGTCTAACGTTCAGCCTGGAACCGGATGTGAAGAGACAAGTACATATTTGTTGCTTGAAATTGTTGTAAAGCTAACTTGGTCCGTAAGCTACGTTCCTCTTCTATAACTACAAATAGCTGATTGGTTCATAGAAAATGTTCTTTTAGCTGTCCATTTATTCAAAATAATGTGTTCACAATTGGTAAGCAGACTTGTTATTCTCTAAAATAATGTTAAATATCTGGATTATCGAAATTCAAATGATTTAAAGGCGTTTTTGTGTAGTAAAAAGTAATTACTATTGACCTCAGAATATCTCCTAATATCAAGTGCACATGGCTTCAAAATGCCCATAACATTGGTCAGATTTCAATAAAAATTCTGGGGGCTTCCAGCGCCCCCCCCCCCCCTAAAAAAAACTGGGTGGGCTCGCTGTGTTCGCCATGTTCCCCCACCCACAAATTCTTGAACATTCCTTTTGATATTCCTGGATCCGCCCCTGGAATGAGAAAAGCACGAAATATGACAAGAATATCTTCTAATACAGTGGGGTGGTCTAACCCCTGATAATATACCAGTCCTCCCTGACTACTGTTTTCTTCCACTCTCTGACCTATGACGTCACATAATTAGCTCCGCCTCCTGCACGTGGGTTGACTTGGTTTTATTAGACTTTGAGGTGACATTAATGTAAACAAACTGACAACCTACCTCATTTTTAAATGATAATACAAAATCTGAGAGATGTCACCAGGTGAGACTTTTCTTAATATATAAGATGTATGTTTGTCAAATAATGAATAAGATATTTATTATTGGAATCGAAATATGGTGTTGTATACTTCGACGAAAATATGATTCCCTTATCAACTTTCTCGTGTACACCTCGACCTCGCTGTGGCTACCCCCCCCCCCCGCCCTCACCTGAAATCCAAGGACATAATCTTCAGGATGGTGGTGACGTCACAGAAGCGGGCTAGGTCACCGTAGATGACCTGTGACCTGGACCTGTAACACCCGGTAGGCACTAGCGCTGTCCTTTCAAACACTTGGCGCCGAACATCGTCCTCTGAGTCCTGCAGTCAGAGGTATTTATCTTAGTTACACATGAGTAATTAAGTAGATAAGTCGGGTTAATATAGAGGTTTTTAAGTGGGTTAGGTTATCTTGATCTCTCAGTATATTCGTGGATTATACCTGTAGTAGACACGATCACCTCACCCTAAAATACTGATACCACATATATCCCGGTGCTAGACCCCAGCGGATAGTGTCCTGGGCCACAAGGTCAGCCACGGAGTCGATAGGCACGTTGACTCTGGGCACGGTGAGGAGGGAGGTCAAGGTGCTGCCGTAGGAGGTGAAGAACACGAGGGACGCCATGAACCAAGTGGCCACGACCCCACGACTCCCGTTACCAGCTGGCACCCACGACGAGCCTAGCAAGAGAGAGGTTAGGCGTGTGTGTGTGTGTGTGTGTGTGCGTTGTGAAGGGGCAATGTGGATATGGTTACTATACATGCTTTGAAAAAAGTTGAATTGACTTTCTGTTGTCTACCTGTACTGTCTATGTGCATTGTTTGTATACCTGCCTTGTCTATTTACATGCTAAATCAATGTAAACTTGTATCACTATTGTATTAATTAATTATCTATCTATCTATCTATCTATCTATCTATCTGCATGTGTTTAATGTATATATGTGTATACATTTTAGGAGGAACACACACACACACACACACTTGGCAAATTGTACCTGAAACGTGTCACATTGAAGGATATCAACTCTTTCATCACCTTCGTCCACAAAGACGCGGAGGGGGCGTTGCCCTCTTCTGTCAAGATGACCTACGGCCGTCACGCCTGGATGTTCAAGTCCCAGCAGATGTGGAAGCATTATGGGTACGTGTCGTGCTGCGGGCACACCCACGCAACACTGCTTCCATTATAATCTGCGTGGTATACCATCCGCCTCGATCACCCACCAGAGACACTCTTATCAATCATCTCATTACCACCTCAGACCACCTCAGAGTTAGGTACCCATGTGCCAAGTTAGTATTATGTGGGGATTTAAATGAAATTGACACCACTGATATCCAGGACCAGCTATCACTATCACAAGTTGTGACCTTCCCCACACACGGTCAAAACACCCTTGACCTTATCTTAACTGACTTAGCGGACCAGTACCAACCACCTCAACCACTGCCTCCTATCGGGTGTAGCACACACTTATCAGTGCTCTGGTCCCCTGCTGCCACTCCCACTCAAGTACAGAGACCCTACATCAAGACCTACAGGCCGATTACTGACTCTGCAGTACGCCTCTTTGGACAGTGGATAGTTCACTATCCCTGGACTGAAGTACTCAGCGTGGATGACGTGGAAACCAAATGGATAAATTATACCAACACCACCACCGAAGCTCACCACCACTTCTTCCCCGAGAAGTCCGTCAGATCTCACCCAGCTGACTTGCCCTGGATCACACCTCGGATCAAAAGACTTATGCAACAGAGAGACAGAGCATTTCATCTCAATGACCACATCCGCTACAGGTCACTTCGCAACAGAGTCATCCGCGAAATACGCACTGCAAAGAAGTCCCACTACCCAACCAAATTACAACACCTGAAGCAGACCAACATCAGTCAATGGTATGGTAAGCTTAAAGAACTCTGTGGACTAAACAATATGACACACCCCCTCCCCTTCCTTAGCCATCTCACTAATGTTGACGCAGCTGAGCAAACAAATAACCATTTCGCTACTATATGCCAGACGCTCCCACGGCTTGACACAACCACTCTCCCTGCTTACCTACCAGCCCCCCTTCCCACTGACTTAGTAGAGGAATTTGACGTAGCAAAACGCCTGGACAAACTAAAATTAAAACGCTCTACCACCCCCATTGACTTACCAATGAAACTATTCAAGGAGTTCTCCCCGGAGCTTGCTAAACCCCTCTGCTCCATCATCAATGCTTCTCTCAGTCAAGCCAGATGCCCAGCTGACTGGAAGACCTCTTATGTATCACCAGTGCCCAAGTCAACCAGCCCACAATCCTTAAATCAGCTACGACCTATTGCAATCACCCCAATACCCAGCCTAATCTGTGAAAGTTTTGTGTTTGACTGGGCTTATGCTGATATTGCAGGAGTCGTAGACCCTCAGCAATTTGGCAACATGAAAACTTCCTCCACCACTCACTGTCTTGTCAGCTTTCTCGATTACATATACCGCCATCTCGAGAAACGAAAAACGTCTGTAGCTGTCGCCTTCATTGATTTCACTAAAGCGTTCGACCTAGTCGACCACAATATAATCATAAACAAAGCTATTGACCTCGGGCTTCGGAGAAGTCTCATACCATGGCTTACAGACTTCCTCAGTGACCGACGCCAAGCTGTACGCTTCCGAGGGGCTGTCTCCACCTTTCAGTCACTCACCTGTGGCGTCCCCCAAGGCACCAAGATGGGACCACTCTGCTTCCTTATGCTCATCAATGATGCCCTAAGAGAAACCCCTGCTCGCTGGAAATATGTCGACGACTCCACCATTGGGATCAGCGTCAACAATTCCGCTCCCAACTATACCGCCCTTCAGGATTTATTGAACAGTCTCCAAAACTGGGCCACCAACAACCATGTCACCATCAACCATACCAAGACAATGGTTATGCACATCAACCTCTCCTCCGACATTGTCCCACCTCCTTCCATTACCCTAGGTCCGAACACACTCCAGGTTGTAGATTCCACGAAGCTCCTCGGCGTCACCATAGACAACAAACTAAATTGGAAACCACACGTCAGTGAAGTTGTCAAATCCTCCAGTTTCCGTCTCCACCTCCTCCGCCGACTCAAGTCCCTCGGAGTTCTGCATCCGAGCTCCTCAGTGTTTACACACATTCATACTTCCCAAGCTCACCTATGCCTCCCCCACCTGGTCTTCCTCCCTAAATGCCACACAACGTAAACACCTAGAAAAAGTGCAAAAGAAGGCATGCAAGATTATTCTCTCCCCTTCCTACTCCACATATCAAGAAGCGCTCAACACACTGACCCTTTCGACTCTCACTGACCATCACCACGGCCTCATCTGCAAATTTGGTAAGAAGCTTCTACACCATCCCCGACACCGGCCCCTACTACCACCTGAGATCCCCTGTCCGAGAATTGCTGTTCGACACCACAACCGCATCCAGCCCATACGTGCACGAACTGATCGCTATAAGAACAGCCCAGTCCCAACCATTGTAAAAATTATCAATAACATGTAATAAATCAGTGTATTCACTCCCAGTAAACACTGCTCCCTACACTGTCACTATGTTGAAATGAACTGTATTTTGAGCTGATCCCCATCTAAGTTACTATATGTCTTATTTGTGTCACTTATGTCACTTGTATATTATTTGTAATTCGTAACCCATTCCCCAAATATGTAACTGTATATTTTCAGCCTTCTGGCTGCCAAGCTCTTTCAATAAACCGTTAATTATTATTATATATATATATTACACGCACATACACACACACACACATACACACACACACACACACACACACACGCACATACACACACACACACACACACACACACACACACACACACACACACACACACACACACACACACACACACACAATCACACGTATACAAAGTTAATCTCCTATACACTTCTAAAATCTCGTAAAAAAAAAGTCAACATATTTCTAAATTTACCAGAAAATATTCCACTAAAAATATATATCATCTCTTTCCTCTATTTTCCTTAACTTACCACATAAATAATTAGGGGCAAAAGGTCACCCGAAATATACTTTACTTTCTTGGGTGATGGATTTGAAGACACAGATAGCAGCCTTAGACACTTTGTTCCGGGTGAATGTGGAGGGGAAGATCTTGCCTTCCACCCACAGTGCCCATACCAGTACCAAACCCACGCTCATGGCACTCAATAGTAGTAGAACCCACACCTGTTGGGATGAGTGTGGGTATATGGGTGAGTTAAGGTGTTGGAGTGAGAATGAGTTGAGATGGTTAGGGTGTAAATCTCTCTCTCTCTCTCTCTCTCTCTCTCTCTCTCTCTCTCTCTCTCCACTGCACACGACACTATACTGTACATATAGATGGTGTCATTATTGTCTTGCTGTCACTGTAAGATAAAATACGTCAGAAACTCGTTGCAGAGGATAGTCTTTAATAGTTAAGAAATGTCATCTGTCTGTCTGTCTGTCTTTCTTTCTCCTGTCTCTGTCTGTTTGTCTGTCTATCTTTCTCTTCTTCTCTCTCTGTCCGTCTGTCTGTCCGTCTTTCTCTTCTTCTCTGTCTGTCTGTCCGTCTTTCTCTTGTCTGTCTGTCTGTCTGTCCGTCTTTCTCTTGTCTGTCTGTCTGCCTTTCTCTTGTCTGTCTGTCTATCTTTCTCTTCTTCTCTGTCTTTCCGTCATTCTCTTGTCTGTCTGTCTGCCTTTCTCTTGGCTGTTTGTCTATCTTTCTCTTCTTCTCTGTCTGTCTGTCTGTCTATCTTTCTCTCCTTCTCTGTCTGTCTTCTGTCTTTCTCTTCTTCTCTTTCTGTCTGTCTGTCTATCTTTCTCTCCTTCTCTGTCTGTCTGTCTGTCTTTCTCTTCTTCTCTGTCTGTCTGTCTGTCTGTCTGTCTTTCTTTTCTTCTCTGTCTGTCTGTCTGTCTGTCTGTCTGATTATTTAATAGGTCACCTGTATCTTGTGTTAATTAGATCTATTCTGTCAGGTATTTTCAAGTATTCATTTAATTTATAGTGAGGAGACTGTGTGAGGACTTTAAGGTGTGTGTGGGAGGGAGGGGAGAAGAAAGAAAGAAAAAAGGGCGTATCCAGAAGGGTCCTGGGGGTCCGGACCCCCCTTTTCACCAGAAAATTCCAGTTCTTTTTCTTTAATGCAGTATTGTACTCAGGCATTTTTGTAAAGTAAAAAGCATTTACTATTGACTTCAGAATATCTCCTAATATCAAGTGTGCATGGCTTCAAAATGGCCTCAAAATGCCCATGATATTGGTCAGATTTAAAAAATATATACTGTATTCTGGGGAGTTTACAGCCCCCCCCCCTCCTCCTAAAAGAAGAAGCTGGGTGGGCTCGCTGTGCTCGCCATGTTCCCCACCCATAACTCCTTGGACCCCCCCTTTTGATATTCCTTGATCCGCCCCTGAGACAGAAAGAAAGACCCTGACAGTCCCGCTACACAAACACTCACGGTCAGAGAAAACGGCTTGAGGAACCCCATGATATCACTCTCTAGGGCCGGCCGCTGGTACACGATGGCGCTGTTCTCGATATACAACGGCAGGGAGAAGTCACACAGCTCCTCCCTCTCACTCGTCACGATGAAGGGGCCCAGGGCGATCTCCACCTCCTGTAAGGGAAAGGAAGAGGTCAGATGGGGTCAAGGAAGGATAGGGATGTTTTGGAAGGTTAGGTTAGGTTATGGTGGAAAGAAAGAGGTACTTATCTCTCTCTCTCTCTCTCTCTCTCTCTCTCTCACCTTTCTCTGGATAAGACCCATCAGGCCAGACCAGTAGCCGGATGTGTTTAGGTTCCCCCACTTGCCATCCGGCGCCAGCACTAACTGGTAACTGTAAAGGGGAGGAGGGGAGGTGAAGAGAACAGTGGGAGAAATAAAAGCGTAATAATAATGACAACAAAAGCAGAAGCAGTAGCAACAAAAACAATGACTGTAATGATGATGATGATGATGATGATGATAATGACAACTATAACCTTAATTAAAACACATGCATTCATAAATACACACCTCCTACATACATACATACATACATACATACATACATACACTGGACAAATACAATAATAACTATAATAGAAACATCAAGAGTATCTATGTGTAACCAATAACTTAGACTCTATGTTAATTAACCCACTATGTTTAATTGTTTTCAGTCATTTGTGTACCAGAACAAAAATGCAGTCATGTGTGTTTCAGGTTATCTTAGGTCACTTCAGGTCATTTCAGGAGGTTGAAAGATACTATGATATTGTTTTCAGAGCCCACGTATATGTGTGTGTCTGTGTGTATGTGTGTCTGTCTGTCTGCCTGTCCGCCTGTCTAAGTATGCTTTTATTCACATCATCCACCATTCCACCTGCCTTTGTCTATCTTCACTATCCATCCACATACACACACTCACGGTCTATCACTATCCACACACTCACTCAAGGTCTCTCACTATCCACACACTCACTCAAGGTCTCTCACTATCCACACACTCAAGGTCTCTCATTATCCACACACTCATCTAAGATCTCTCACTATCCACACACTCACCCATGGTCCGGAATGATCCCCCACTATCCACACACTCACCCATGGTCCCCCACTATCCACACACTCACTCAAGGTTCATGGCCTGCGTGAACATCTCCAAGATCCGTCTCATGGTCCCTTCCACGACGATGGCACCGTCCTCCCTGCGTGACACGATGGCCCATGGTCCCCACTGACAGGGCGAGTGTGGATGGGTGGGTTAGAGTGGGTTGCAGGTAGGATAGAGGGTGAGTGTGGGTTCGTAGAGGAGTATGGAAACAGGTGGCAGGATAAATAGTAATAGTATTAGTAGTAGTAGTAATAATAATCGTAATAGTATCATTAAAAAGCAGTAATTACTTCATACAGTATATCACAAAGCAAATAATACGTAACTAATTACAAAAAAACACCAAATATACAAAACATTTACTGAAGTAGACAAAACACACACACACACACACACACACACACACACACACACACACACACACACACACATATTCACAAGCAAACTTAAAAAAAACACAGACTATATAACGAAACACTACGTCATCAATACACAACATCTATAATAAAGGCAACATTAACATCAGTAGTTTACGTTAAGTTCTACGTAACACAATCAATACTCACCGTACCCACAGCAATCTTGAGTGGTTGTGGAGATGCTGCTGTCATATTCGGGTCTAATCTACAGAGAATTGAACGCGTTTTACTTGTCTACAGGTATTATATAAATGATGCATCTTGTTACTCTCCTAAAGGGAGGGGGAGGGGTCTATTGGTGTCTTTAATAGCCTAGAACCTAACCTAATCTAACCTAACCGACCCTGAAGCTAACCTTACCTAGCTTTATTAAAGTTATTTAAATGATGTGTCTATATCCTATGACTTTTTTCCTATTCAAAATTATGATTTTTTTTGCTCACACACACACACACACACACACACACACACACACACTGCTCATGTTATAATATATCACTACGCTTCAACCACTAAGATCTAAGCACGTCTACTAGAATAATTAATGAATTACCCACCAACAATTAAATATTTAAACAAAAATTGCACACTTCCCTCATACTTCACACTGCAAAAAAAAATCTCACAAACTAGAATCATGCAAGATGCTGCACAGTCGAATCCAGATTAGTAACTACACAAGCCTACTCCTCCTAGCCTTATTTATAACCTCACGCTGACTCAACACAACAGATCCATCTACAACACAAACTTAATGATTGACATATTTCTTATTAGTTATCACTCAATTATTATTATTACGAGTTTTGGTAAGGTTTTTGTAACCGTATGAATATGAAAACACATGTACAGTACACCCAATATGTATTCATGAGGGAATGTATTATGAACCTTCTGTATGATAAGTTCACTTGTTTGTCATGGCACTTTGCATGGTTAAATATCAACATAGTTCTCACGAAACATATGCTATAAATTCTGACAATTAATTTAACATAGGGGCAACTGAAGAGAAATTGCAAGCTTAGTGTTAACTTTATGATTTACTGAAAATGACATATATACATACATACATACATACATACATGCTATCCCAAATAGGGATAACTTTTTTTTATTGCACCCCTTCTTGTTCCCGAGACATGCTAGGGACTGTCAGTTAAATGGAAATGTCCAGAGGCGCCACCAGACTGGTGTCTGCTCTTCTGCACCTCAGCTATCTAGAGAGATTAGAGCGCCTGCAACTTCCTAGCTCATACTACAAATGGGCAAGGGGGGACCTAATTGAGGTGTATAAACATCTAAAAGGGCACTACTCAGTCAAGTGTTCTTACCCGGAGCTGGTGGAAGCTCGCCCCACAAGGGGTCACAGCTCAAGGTTGAAGAAGCCTTAGGTCCAGAAAACTTTGAGGGCAAACTTTTTCGGAGTGAGAGTTGTGAACTCTTGGAACAATCTACCAGAGAGTGTTGTGACAGCACCGAGTGTGAGCTCTTTCAAGATCAGACATGACCAGCACTGGAGCAGGTTCAGGTACATTCAGGAGCCGGTGCATGCCCAATACTTGCCAACAGTGCGTAAGAGAGACGTTGTAGTGGATTTCTCCCCTACAAACGCTGTTTGTCGCTGAGTTGCCGACCCCGTGAATTCCCCAGTGTCGGCCTCGTGGTCTGGGTCAACCAGCGCCGCCATACATCACGGAGGTCAACTACTAAGCCACGCCTACCCCCCGCTATTTAAGACCTGACCTCGTGGTGACCTCTCTTTTTCTACCTACACCAACCAGCCAGCAATACCTCCTCCTCCTCCGCCTGCATGGCGGCCCTCGCTCCCGCCGGCGAGCATGGCGACCCACAAGCTGTCCTCCTCTGAGCACCCTCACCAACCAGCTCTCTCTACATCACGCTTGTAACCATGCTGCCTTCCCAGCACCAAGCTGCATTGTACATCCAATACAACATGTATACAGAGAGCACATTGTGAGTTTCCTTTCTCCAACCATCCTAAGTGTGAACCCAAACATCCCATACTCCACAACGTAACCGATTGCCCAAGCGACTAACGAGCCGATCAGTGGTGAAGAGAATAAAAGTAAAAGTAAAGGATGTCTATGAAACTTCATTATTTTATACTCTATGTATAATAAGTAGGAGTTACCGGGACATCACGAGTTGCATGTCGCATTTTGGAAGTCGTCATACCCATCATTTTGAGATCATACTGTATGTCGTACCACTAGTCCCCAGCCAAGTCCAGTGTCAGCAATATTGCCTCTTGGTTTTACATTGATTTATTATATGGTGTTCTTCTATAAAGGACCCGCTCTCGTAGTGTAGTGGTTATCACGTCTGCTTTACACGCAGAAGGTCCCAGGTTCGAGCCCTGGCGAGAGCACTTTTTCTGAACAAAAGAAAGTTATATATATATGTATGTATATAATTTTCTTATCTGAGTGTTGTAGATCCATCACTAAAATATTCTTGGTGCAATACTGTATAATGATTAGTTTTAGCAACTTATAAACATATGGCGATTTTATTGAATAAATATACAGCATATCTATTCATCTATCTATCGATATGGCGGTAGGTGAATATTTGAACATTTTAATTGTGGAAGAGTAGTCAAAATAATTTAGTATAAATAACATAATGTACATAATTATATTACTATCAAGTTTAGGGAGTAAAGAATTTAAACAACTTCACCATGGTGTTTATGTTTTAAGGATACACTTAGTTAATATTATGTGTTTATTGGAGTTGCACTGTGTAACTTATCATATTTTTATCAACATCAATATCTCTGGACAATATTACATTAATTTGTATTTTTCTAGATCAAAGGTAAAGGTAAACATAAAACGTTTTAGATTTCGGGTTTATTAATTCCTTTTCACATTACAGGACTCGGGTGAAGGCAAGAGCTTGTTGAACCTCTGAACTAATATCTTGATACAGGTCATCAACCACAACTATAACAGAAAATCAACCCTTCAACTTAACAAGAGAACATTATGTCGGTGTACGGTAGTTAAAAGGAGACATTATGACAGTTAAAAGAGGAAGAGAAGAAGCTTTATGTCAGTACAGTACAACCCTTTAGTTTATCTGGGTTGTCGAGATATATTATGTTGTTAATAACTTCATGATGGCAGCACACCAGATGACTCAACGGGAAGAGTACCTCAAGTCTCTAAATAGTTTCATAGAGTCGTCAAGTGATGTGATTAACAGGTTTACTAAGGTGATTGGGTGGACGAGGCCAGCCATCCACCAGAGACCAACAGGAGGTCCCCACCACACTAAGGTGAAGTACAGTGTTATTTTATCATTATTATTATTAGTAGTAGTAGTATTGTTCTTGTCATTATTATTATTTGTATAAAAGAAAAATATTGTTATAGGTACTCTTGTATTTAATGGGCATAAAATGAACCTAACCTAACCTAATATAATGTTTAGGCATTGCTAAGATTTAGATTGGTGAGGTAATGTTAGTTGGGTTCATTTTATGAGCTATAATTTATATATGAGAAGAAGCCCACCATGGTAGATGAAATATGTCGTTCAAGTTATGGTGACTCCAACCAATAATTTATATAATACAGCAATATCTCACACTTACTAATCTTGCCGTTACTTAGAAGCCTTCATGCACTTTTTATTGATATTTGAGTAATAATTTTGGTAATAGTTAAGAACAAGGGTCCATGTTATCCAGCTACCAAATGAAAACTATAAAAGAAAACTAATTTCTTACTTAAAGAATAAAGCAAATTAAGGGGAGGAATGACCCTTAATGTATTACTACCGGTGGAAACTGGGGATAATATTGACGACTGCCCCCCGGATGATTTAATTGTTTTACTGTTTATATTTGTACTTTATTTTCATCAGTGTGTTCTGATATAATTATCATTTATTGTGCAAATGCTTTGTTTGGTCGATAATTAGGCACTTAGGCACTCACTACTTTGTCTTCTCGGCAGTAATGCGGTGATGACGTCTCATCCCAGGATGTAAACAGCCAATAATATTGATGTATTTTAAAACACTCCACCGCCCTGGCTTGATCAATACCAATACTCAGTGTATGCTTAAGAACCGTTCAGTGTGGACGGCTGCTCTTACGTCCACAAAAAACGTAAAATTACACCATATGATCAATTCTTTCTGTTTTATATACGGTACTGAGGAGGGGTCTTGGGGGTAGAGCCCGCCAGCTAGAAGTTAGGTAAGGTTGGGTTGGTGAGGTCTTCTAACAACACTCTGCTATTTGTTTTTCTTATCAACTAATGTTAGGTTAGGTTTAATTTGGAAATAGCCACTTTTAACAGATTTGCACGAATTACGACAGTGTCCAGTATAAAACACAGTGAAATTGCGTCATTTAACTAATCTTTTTCAATGAAAAATCGGCCGCAGGACAGTTGTCAATAATTTCCGAAAACTGGAATGCCCAGAGAAAACGTGCCATGTTTAGTATTATCTTTTTGTTTGGCATGTTTGTACCCCACAATTTCTCTCTACTTCAAAGGTCTGCCCACTTTGTGTAATATTTTTTTTTTTTTTTTTTTAATATAAATTACCGACAAAAATGCTATTAAGTGCTCCTTTTTTCTCTATTTTGTTTCGGGGATCCAGCCATTTTTAATATACGCTGTACAGTATATTTATTTTATTTATTTTTTAATCGGTAGTTTAGACGATTCCAAGACACTTTTCTTCTATGGCGTTTTGCCTACTTATGATTACTATAAGAGAAAATCGAAAAAAAGAACGAAAATAATTTTTATTTTATTTTTTTTAATTTAAATTATGTTTTTCCGATGTTTTTTTATGTGTATTGAACGAATCTGACCTTCATTTCTACTGCTAATCACACCAAACCTAACCTAATCTATGTAAAATTAGCATTGCTGTTATCCAGCAATTTTTGGGAATTTAAGTTTTGGAATCAGTAGTGCTTACCTTTGACTCAGAAGACCTTCTGGAGCCAATGATTAACAAATAAAATAATTTTCCATGGCTCCAGATGTGCACCATATAAAAATGTTCCTTTATTGTTTGTCAGCCTGATAGCTACAGGGCTGGTTATAGTTTGTGCACTTAACCTCAGTTGGCAACACACCGTGTTCCTGGAGAAATTTCAACGCCTCTTTGTCCTTACCGTAATACTCAGCGTGAAATCGCGTGATTGCTTGGAAGTAATCTACATCACAGCCATTGCACAAAGGAGACATCTTGGAAATAAATTCAAATTCAAGGGGGTCGTGGCGGGGGGCCTATACCGAGCTGTGATTAGTTGATCCAAAATCATACCCACCAATGAACGTGTCAGACTTTAGCGCATGCTTAATTCAGCCTAATTACTAACAGACGAACACGAGCTCTCCAGGACGGTGTTAACTTCAACCGTAACTGAAGAAAAAAAATAGATTTTCCTAAAATGTAGTGCCATTTTCTCTGAAAGTATTAATGAATGGGCAAAATGCCATAGAAGAAAAGTGTCTATATACAGGTATTAAAAATTGCTTGATCCCCGAAACGATAATAATTCCCAGTATAGAGTTCCATGCATGATCACTACAGAATAATTACCCAAGACTTTGGTCCATTCCTACGAAGTTAAAGTCATGTATGGTTCAGTGGCGATAACTGTATGTTCATGAAAATATACCTGTTTCCCTAACACTCAAGTTCTCAAGTCACTTAGTCACTCAAACTGGTATACAGATTGCCTCCAGCCTTGCCTTTGGAGTACACTGTCCAAGAGTAAAAATAATCAGAAAAATTATAGTGTGCAGTCTACAAGGTATTTAGGTTAGGTCAGGTCAGGTTAGGTTAGACTAAAGCTATCTTTGCAGACTGCATGCTATTGTAGCACTAGTCTTATGTGTTGTCAATTGTCATGTTGATTTTACAACTTTTGGGAGTGTACTTTTCAGTTCCCGGAGACTTCTGAGACTGGCATGGAAACTCTCGGTTATAATAGTTTCAGTGAAGAGCCACTCCTTCCATCAGCCTCCATCCCCTCACCATCAGCTGACTTTGCCCTCACTATAGGTAAGAAACCTTGTAGCGCTCACTTTCTCTGTACAGATGGGAGAGAGGAAGCCACTTTATTTATTTGATTGCTCGCTCACTGTATCTCACTCTGTGCTGAAGAATCAAATCAGGTTTTCATATGCCTGGAAGAATAGTAGGTAGTGAGGGAGTTATAAAACAAAAGCTGTACTAATGAATGGTTAATGTCGAAAGCATTCATGATAATGAATTCGAAGCCACTAATATCAAAGGTCTCTGTTCTGCCTCCTAAAAACTTTATGAAAATATAATTCAAATCATTGCAAACTGAAGGCTTAGTTATGGAATGAAATGTCAATATTACCGGTAATCCCCCATTTTATTAATTCTTAATATATATTTGGTCATAGTATTGTATCTGTTTTATACCCTAACCCATTGTGTGCTACTTTCCACATGTGGGTTCTTGTTAAACTTGATCTTTGTCCTTACAGATGCAGACAAGCAAAGAGAACTGCTGATACCATATAAGAAAATAGGTCAGTGTTCAGTCTTTAGTTCAAGATGAATCATGAATTGTACTTTAATCATGTATTGTACCTTTATTGTGTATCGTACTGTACTTTAATCATGCACCGTAGTTAATGTATATGTGACAGCACAACCCTTGCCATAGATATATATTTAATATACCCGTAACCAAATATCTCATGTGACATTATATTTGTTATACGCTTCTGACTGACATTGTTTACTTTCTTTTCAGCAGTATGTATCTGGGTGCCATGTACAGTACAGTATCCTTTTATTAGACACTGAAGCTTCCATGACCTATAATTGTAATGGATGGATTTGCTCTTTTTAATCTTAACCGTCACATTCTAATCAGTACATTCTGTATTTTGTATTGTTTTTTGTTGGATTTGTGATTTTTTTTTTTTTTTTTTAGTCCTCTTACCTCATTGTTACCTAACTTGCTGAGATGTCATTCTCTCCCTTTGTTTAGATCTATTACTTGATGGTGATGGAAAGAGTTCGTAGTCTCACTCTTGTCATAGCCAGACTTACCTATACTGTACAGTATATACAATTTCTCAGCACATACTGTAATATTGGGTCTTAGGTCATCAAATTTTAGAATCTTTCATAATCCAGTGGAAGTTGCTTTTTATTTATTTGATTTCTTTGGAGCCATGAATAACACATATACCTTAACTTTTTTCTATAAGTATACAGTATCTTTCTGTTGTCATCTTTGTAGAGAACATCAGATTGACATAGTTATAGCCTCTACCTTTTTTTTTTATTCTTCATATGAAAGGATTAGGCAGTTTAGGAAGATGTGGCAGCTCAGTGGTGTAGTGTGAATGTGGCCTCAGTTTTGAACAACCAAATTAACAAAAAAACTCTCTCTTCATCTACCTTCATTGTGTTACCTTGGGTGGTTGAGGCCACCTGGTTTACTGCCTGTATGTGTGGAGTAATTTATGTATTATACTGTATCATTATATAATTACTTAGCGTACTTGCATTTACAGAGGGAATATTCTTGAGTAAACTGAACTGGTATCTTGGGAACATATGAATTACAAATTAAAAAAAAAATCAAAAAGTAGATTTATTCCCAGACTGCCAGCACCATGTCACTATGTATGGAGTTGGGGTTACTACTGAAGTATTTGGTGGGTTAGGAGAGTTATACTTGGCAGTGTATCCATAGAAGGACATTATACAGTAACTGGAAGTGACCCATATTTAAGGTGGGCTTGTTCAGTACACCTTGGATAAGAAGATGAAGATTCATGATTTCACTGTACTCTCGCTCCAAAAACATTCTTTTGAATTATGTGTTAGACAATATGACACAACGGTTGAAGGATTTTGAAAACCATACATAGACAACAGGAGTCGCAGTGTTCATTTTGAAATTCATCGGACCCCTCCGAGTAGAGCGAGTACTGTATACAATAAGGGATGAATGTAGGACCCCTGTAGGACCAATTGTATGTAGATGGTAGACAGTGAGAAGGCAGGGAATGTCATACACAAGAAAGTGCAAAGAAAGGCAGAGGTAAATGATACAAGTTTATTACAGTAAATGTAACTTATACAGATTTAATAAAGTGTGGACAAGGCAGGAACTCAAACTGATACTTGATGGACTCCAGCACTGATGGGAAAGTACAGTAGTGTGAGTGTGAACCATGCAAAGCTGAACAGATTTGGCAGTTTGATATTTGTCAGCAAAAACTATTCTTAACATACTAAACAAGGAAAAAAGAGAGACCCTTATTTGGAATACCTGTATCTGGTATTGGGATTTTATTGTACTGTGTATGAAGTGGACTGACTCTTTACAGTATTACACTTAATAAATGCCATGACACCATAAGCAGGAACACTCATGACAGGTGTACAGACTACATCATTTATCCTTATGACAGATCTTCACAACACATGCAGAATGAAGCAGGTGTACAACTGGAGTTAATCAGTACAGTACCTTATTGTCATTCACCAGCTGGACCTGACACTCGCCAACCTCCATCTTGTGCGGGGGAGTTGACAGCTTGTTTTAGTAAAGAAGAGAGGTTAGCCATGTATGAATACACACTACAGAGCGCTGCACGGGTAGCAACACCACCAGAAATTCTTCCAATGGTTTGTTAATTTCTTCCACAATGATTGCTTACTAATTTTATTGGAATATGATAGTATTTAAGTATACTTGAAGAAAAATTTTTGCTTCATTGTAGTAACATTCTATATACAGTGACCCCTCGGTTAACGAACTCAATCCGTTCCAGAAGGTCGTTCGTTAACCGAAAAGCTCGTTAACCGAAACTATTGTTTCAATGGGTTTTTGGGTAATTGGTTCCAGCTCACCGAAAATTTCCTAAATTCAACAAAAATAGTAGAAAAGTTCACTTACTTTGAGGTGTGTATGTAGAAGGCTCCTGGATGATGATGATGTTGATGGGATTTAGAAAAGGGGTGGAGGAGAAGGAAGAAGAGAAGGCATTGGGGTGGAAGAGAAGTCACCCCATGGCGCCATTTCACCCATAAGATTATTTTCTTTAAATCAACACTGCACTGCATTATATATTGTCAATATGTAAAATATATTTCAAAATGACCAATAATTTGCTTGGAAACAGAAAAAAAGCATTTAGTTGAAGAGAGAGTCAAGCAAGATGTTACCTCCAGTGAAAACAGAGAGAGACTAACGCCTGTTTGCTGTGTTAAGAGGCTGGATGCCGCGCATTAAACTAGTCACTTTACCTTCAATTATGTTCAATAATTGTTAAAATGACTAAAAAATTGAATATTAAACTTTTAAAATTATTGAATAGTATAAACTTCTTGATATTTACTAAAATAGTAAGGAATTTAAGCCCTAGAACCGATTAATGTATTGGCGGACTGATACTAAAGCTGGTTGCCTGGTCAGTGCAAGCGAAAACATGTTGAGGTCGGTTCGTAAGAAATTCGTTAACCGAATTGAAGATCCTTATGGAAGGCAGTTCGTTAACCGAGGCGTTCGTTAAACGAGGGGTCACTGTATAATAAATAGTGTTTGATACGTGTGAATTAGTCTTTCTTTCTCTCTCTCCAGCTTTTAATGTGGTCATAAATGTTACTGAGAAGTGTATTCTTTCAGGAAACTTATAAATCTGTGGATAACCAGCCAAAGGAGCTGTCAGAATTAGAACTGATGAAAGCAGTCAGGGATTTCAAGCGGCGTCGTCAAGCTTACAGAACGAAAGTCTCTACAAAGAACAAAAGTCAGACTCAGGTAACAACTTTCCCACATTAATATTTTTGTGCTGCATTTTGAAAAGTATGTATGGGACAGTATCATAATCCAAATTTCTGGAAAGGTGTCAACATGGTGAAAAGGAAAGCAAAATAAGAGACAGGCTAAGCATTGTACCCTGATTGGTTTAAACTTACCATATCTTTTGGGGGTGGCCTTACTGATACTGTACTGTACGTACGTATACCCCCACCTGTAGTGAGAGGGTAGGACTGACAGGTGTGGTGGTCTCGCTAATACTGTACTGTACACCATCGCCTGTAGGTAGAGGGTAGGAATGAAGGAAGTTGGGAAGATATTACCAGTTATACAAACCTGGGTTGTTTAGTGTCTGTGTTAAGCCTGGTATTTTACTTGAAGACACAGTGGGATTATAATTTGTTTTTGAAAGCTTGTTTTTTTTTATTTAATTTACATTATATGGGGCTTTTATTTTTAAATCTTTTTACTTTTTGACCCAACACCAAGCACTAGGCAGCTGTAGTGTTATTCTCTTGAGTCTTGCCCAGGAGGCCTTCAAGACTGATTGCTGGATGACTAAACTGTCCAGTTACGCCCATAAATACTTTCTCATTGTAACCATTACCTTTTAAAGGGAGAATAACATTTAACTTTTGCCAATGAAGACAGGAGACCTTGGATAGTTGTGTTACTCTGGTGCATGTGTGTGTGTATGTGTGTGTGTGCACTTGCATGTGTGCATGTGTCTCAGGCAGAGGCCATATTGGGAAAATAGACTCCAGTCTTCAGTGTCCTAGCCACCTTTACCCCTGTTAGATGCCTCTACCAACACTTCCTTTTATTTTGTGTTAGTTAAGTGCTTTAATTCCCTATCTTTAACACTTTTGGAGGTGCCGCACCTTAGTGGATACAGTGCTTTCCTCCAGTCCAAAGGGTTGTTAGTTCATTCTCAGGGCTCCCCAGTTCACCCATCTGTAAAGAAGTACAGCTGAGGCTGGATTTTCGCGGTTTTGGTTTACGCGGTGCCTTGCCAGAATTGAAATGCTTGATTTACGCGGCAAATTTGGTCATTTACGCGGGAAGCGGCGCAGGCAGGGTGTGCACAGGGTCGCCCAGTCATCAAAACATTACCGAGTTCTTCACCCACCACCCACCACAGCCGGCCTAAGTCAGTGATAGTGAGGATATGGACTTATATGGACTTTGAGGGGTTTGACAAAGAGGCCCTACAAGCCTCTGTGATGGATAGTGATACAATTGATACAAGTGATACAGGTGAGGGCCAATAATCTGCCCACTGCCTCGGAACCAACCCTCCATCCCCGTGTGCCCAGCCATCTTTTCTACTAATGTAAGTGTTAAAAAACTTAATATTATTGATATTTCTCTTAATTATTAATTGTGTGTGCATACCATCATAAAATTAAGATGTTATTTTGACTACAAGGTGCGTATTGTGTCGGAAAAAGTGGAGTTTGGGGGTCGGCCCAGTCTCTATTTCAATTAATCCCATATGTTCTGTTATTTCATTTACGTGTTTCTTGTTTTACGCGGTATTCCGCGGGTTCAATTGACCTCGTAAATGAAGACCCAACTGTACTGTGCCTATTTTTACAGTATGGAAGTGATGGCAGTTGGACTTTGCCACCATTTTTTGCACTTCACATTGGAGTTGATTCAAATTAAGACCAACATCTGTTTCTATTATTTTTCAAGGTAACCAGAATCAGTCAACTAAGCCTCGGTCATGTACTTCATTACTTTATGTTCCATTATCTTATCAGCAGCGGTTATTCTGGGGAGTGCATTCCCGTTGGCCGGTGTCAAGCATCATTGCATAAAATGTACAAATTGTTTCACTAAACATCACCATTACAAATGTACACATGCACACCAAAGTTTTTTAAGATAATACAATATCTACAGTATTTTACCGTCTCCTAAAATAGGTATACCATGTTAGTGCCCCTTCTTGCCTTGTAACTAACATTAAAGCCTGTTTTCATTCATCTTCCAAAGTGCAGGTAAAGATGGCTGGTGAGATAACTTCAAGCCCATATTGTTTCATTTAGCTTGTAGAGTATGAAATATTCCCAAGCCTATTTAATGAACATTGTTGCATTAACACGTATAGGGTAGGTCCAGTCCACAGGCCATTAATAAATGTTTTGTCTCTTCAGGTGACCCGAGAGATTATCCACAACATGATGGTGTTCCTCGGTGCAGAGGAAACGGAACCTGAAAATTTACACCCGAAAGAAGATTCTGTTGTCCCTGCAAATTTACCAGAGAATGGCTGTAGTGAGCGCAGCAACCAAGAGAGAAAGAAGATAACATCAGCGTCTGGACCTTTAGACGAGAAACAGTATAACAGGACTGGTATTAGTGGAGGGAGAGATAAGAGAGACTCCGACAGAGATTATGAAACTAAAGTGAGGTGGAGAGAGAAAAGAGAAGACGATAGTAGTAGTAGATACAAACAAAAGCACGAAAGGGATTATGAAACTGACAGCCACAGGAAAAATCAAATGGAAAGACAAGTAGAATATGAAAAGGACATGAAGAGAAGCAAGAGAGAGAGTGAAAGTAGAAGAAAATATGACGAAGAATATTACCAAGCTAGAGACAAGAGAGGGAGGGAGAGCAAGGAGAGATATAGGGAAAGAAAGCACAGTACGAAAACATTATACAAATACAAGGATCATAGACAGAAACGAAAGGATACCGACGACCAAATTTACGAGAGATTTGAGGATGAAAACAAAAGTAATAATAGACGGAAAGACAATGCCGAAATTTCTCCCACAATTTTGAGTAAATTAGAAGACGGTAAAGATGTTGGAAAAGAGGAAAACAGTTGGGATACAGGATTGGAGGCTAGTGTAAAGGAAAGTTGTGCTGAAGATGGGGAAATATCAAGCCATGAGTCGGACATCACTTGCAGTAATAAAGATTCCAAGTATAGTCCTTCCTCAAGGCACAGAAAAAAATCAAAGTTGAAGAAAGAGAAGTCCAAACGTAAACAAAGAAAAAAGCGAAAACATAAGACTCACAGACACAGCCATTCAGACAGTGAGGAGAGTGTAAGTGACGACAGCAAGTTTAGGAAGAAAAGTACAACAGATATTTACAGTCATGAAGAAAGTATTGTCTAGTAATAAAATTCTTCATTCTATTGACTGACATCCATACTCTGAAGAGCATGTAAAGTCCAACCATTAGTACTTGATATGCAATGAACTATTGTAAAGAAATTGTTTGTGTAACACAACATGACCTCTTTAGATCAGCACTTTGCAACATGGTTTACCTCATATCAACTTCACGTATGATTCATCTTTTGTCAAAAATTATAAAAAGAGTTACCGATAGTTTTTTTTCCATATTTGCCGTGTGACTTAGGAACTAGAGGTATACCTTAACAAGCTCTCATTGCAGAGAACGTCATCGCCATTGCCATTTTTCAAGCTTGCACGAGTAAGCTGTGATTACCTGATGGCACAAGGTCCTGGTTGCCATCATGCAAATTTAAAGCAAGTTTTATGGCTGGATGCCCTTCCTGTCACCAACCCACCTTTACAGAATGGAAGCTTGGCATTATATGTAGGACTTCTAAATGTCCTCTCAGCTGGCAAGGTATTTTTAATGCCTTCCTAGTGGGAGAGAAAAATTAAATCATGTCGATAGTGCTGTAGTCTTAAGCTACTGTCACATGAGCACTTTTATGAGCAATTTCAAGTATTTACATATATTTAACATAGGTTAATATCATTATTATGCATAAAATGCACTACAGTAACAATTTTGTAAAGAAATTTTGAGTTTATAATTTGGGTGCTGATTTAATGTGCTTGTTTACAAAACACACACAGCTGTTCACAGTCCACACACATGCAGCCCTCCCTGCTGTAGCTACCATGGTCCAACCAGTCCACCTCCTCGCCAGACACTTGCGAGTACACAATCGTTTTTTCTTCGGTCTCGTTTTTTAATAGAAAGAATACCAAGGATAGCTGCTGCATCATCTTGCGTTGTTGTTGTGATGTTCCGTCTCCCATCTACTTGCACGGTGGCTTTCACTTGTTTTTTCTTTCAGTAGAAACTGGAGCAAAAGCCACCCGTGTGACCACATTTTGAATGAATTGATCGTATTTTCTTGCTCATAAAAGCACTCATGTGACCCTGACTTTAGAACTTTGAAAGTTACAGGGATGAGATACTTTTTAATGGCAGTACAGTACATGAATTGTAGATTACTGATATGACTAAATTTAGATATATAACTGTCCATACAACTAATACTGTATTTTAATTCAGTTTTAGAAAGTCCCAAATGTAATAGTAGGTGAGAGGCGACACAGTGGAAACAGCTACTCTCTTACCAGCCACTCCGCACCAGGTGACTCAACTATGAGAGGCAGCAGCAAGGCCACCACTATGCAGTTACCGTGTTTTATGAGAAGACTAAACATAATTTTATCAGGTAACTAATCAAACTGGCGTAATGAAAGTCTAAAGATATGTTAAAAAAAATTAACCACTCGGCACCTGATGAACATTAACTTTTACTTTTACTCTCTGCACCACTGATCGGCTCGTTGGCCGCTTCGGCGATTGGTCACATCTATGTTACACACTGTTGGCAAGTACTGGGCATGCATTGGCTATTGAATGTATCTGAACCTGCTCCAGTGTTGGTCAAATCTGGTCTTGAAACAGCTCATACTCGGTGCCGTCACAACACTCTGGCAGATTGTTCCAAGAGTTCACAACTCTGACTCCAAAAAAGTTACCCCTCACAGTTTCATGACTTGTGGCTTCTTCAGCCTTGAGCTGTGACCCTTTTGGGGGCTAGTCTCCACCAGCTTCAGGTAAGCACACTCGACTGAGTAGTGCCTTATGAGATGTTTATACACCTCAATTTGATCCCCCTTGCCCGTCTGTAGTAATAGCTTGGCAATTTCAGGAGCTCTAATCTTTCAAGGTAGCCGAGGTGCCAAAGTGCAGGCACCAGTCTGGTGGTCCTCCTTTGGACATATCTCAGGGACCAGATGGGATGACAGTACTCCAGACAGGGAAGCACCTCACTCCTGAAGATTGTTACGAGGGACAGACCGTCAAGATATCTGAACGACCTTCTTATAAGACCTGGGAATTAAGTCCTTTTCACATTCAGTCTCAATTAATGCAGTTTCTTTGTCCCGTTGGGACATATGATATGCCTCCTTACTGTTGGTACTCCCAAGGTGCAGCCTCTTACACTTCATAACATAAAATCTTAACAGTCATTTCTTCGACCATTCTTGAAGCTCAGAGATCCTTCTGCAGCTCTTACAGTCTGTTTAGTTCTTAATTTCCCAAAATAACTTGCCATTATCCGCAAACATTTGTATGGAGGAATGTACAGTGTCAGGCATGTCATTTATGAAGCAAACAAGCAACAGCGGGCCAAATACACTGCCCTGTGGTATCCCACCTGTGATGGGCACACATGATGATTTTGTGCCATTAATCACCACACTGCTTGCAGTCATGGAGAAAGTCTCCGATCCATGCTAGGACATTTCCTCGAATCCCGTACCCTGCCAGTTTAATTTTCAGCCTTTCATTGGGTACGCTGTCAAAAGCCTTGGCAAAATCTAGGTATATATTGTCGATATTACCACCGTTGCAGAATTTGGGTCCAAACATCCAGTACCTTGAATAATTGTGTCCCAGCATAAAACTGTGTTGGCAATCCCTTACAAGGTTGCTTCGTAGTAGATGTTCCATCACGGCATCTCTAATAATGCTCTCAAGTACTTTACATATTACTGTATGCTTTTCTATAGTTAATCGTGGAGTGACGATCGCCCTTCTTGAAGATTGGACTCCCATAAGCCATTTTCCAATCACTGGGGACCTTTTGCTCATCCAGGCATTTACAGAACAGGATCTTCAGGGGCTCAACAAGCTCGTTGCACAACTCTCTTAGCACTCTGGGATGAACCAGGTCATGGCCAGGACTCTTATGAACCTTCAGCTTTGACAGTTTATTTCTTATAACCTCTTCTGTGAACACAATGTGGGTTAGTGCTGTATCGAACTGTCTGTCCTCAAATGCAGGAAGATTGATCGCATCCTCTCTTGTGAACACCGAGGAAAAGAAACTGTTCAATGCCTCATCTTTGTCCTGGTTAGAATCTGCATAACCACCATCTTCAAGCCAAAGGTCCAATACTCCTACTCGCATTTTTAATTTTGACTTTGCATAGCGATAAAACACCTTTGGGTTTGACTTGACCTCGCTCACAACCAACCTTTGGAACTCCTTTTCATCCCTTCTACACTCTGACTTTGCTTGGTTCCTGGCTCTTGCATACATCCTCCTGTCCTGCTCTTTGTTTGACCTAACCCACACTTTGCATTTCTGGGTTTTCTTCTTAACTTTGTCAACCGCTGCATGGTTCATGTGTAGGGGTCTCCTTGTATTCCTAGAGGCACTGGGTTTGGTCTTGGGTATATTCGTATTTCTCAATCAAATAGTTCACTTTACTGGCTATGATATTCAGCGTAGTGTGTATTCTTATGCCTGAACGAGTCAGGCCAGTGGTTACCCTTCATCTCCTCCCTCATCTATTTGTAATTTCCCTTGTAATATTTTCACCTTGGCCTGGTTTTGTTGTGAACAAAGTAAAGGTTAAATCTGAAGGACAATATTACATGGTGGCTGGTGCCAATGGGGGCTAGATGTTCCAGCTTGGCCACCATACCCTCCTCGTTTGTTAAGATGAGGTTCAGTGGCTTGGGTATTTGCTCCCCTCAGTAATGCGTCGGGACTTTAACATGTTGGAACAAAAAATTATCGCTCAGAGTTTCTACAAAAAGAGTAGCGGGGTTATTTAAGTCATTTGGCATGAACTCATTCTCCAGTCGATGTCACCAGAGTTAAAGTCCCCCATGATAAGGAGATGGCTAGGGTTGAGCATTGCTGCATTGTCTATTGAGGCTCTTAAGTTCGTTTGGTTTAGCGAGCTACAGTTTGGGGATATGTAGATTTAATTGTTCTGTACAGTACTGATTGATACATAAATAGAAATATGATGATTTAACTGAGTATAATTGAAGATTGTCCTGCAATTAAATGAAGTCTTCTGTGCCTGTACTGTACATCCAAGTCTTCATCTGTTTCTCTGATGGGGCCATCTTAATGGTCCAGCTGGTTGGATAGTGAGTAGAGATTGTGCTGTATTTTAGTTTGTGCTCACACCCTGTAATGTGGGCTTTTAGGGCACAGCACTTAGAAATAATTGTGTACTGCACAAGATAATTTGTGCCATGGCTTTTGGGCCCATATAAAATCATTTTGAACTCCAGTAATCTAAAATATTGGACTCATTGTTCGAAGGTCAACTTTTACCCATGTTGTCATCATTAGCTTGTACAGTTATCAGGGTCACCAAACTGCACATAATCTATATATTGTAGATGGTTGAAGTCTTTATATGTTGGGCTCAAAAACCGAAAAGCAACCACAACGCGTTGTGGTTATTCTCAAAATAACCAGAAAGCAAAATTTTGCGTTTGGGTTTTTCCCTAACGTAACCTAACCTATAGCAAAATCTCACTTCTGGTTATTTTCCAACCAACCACAATGCGTTGTGGTCACATAAACCATCATTGAATTCACAAAACATTTTAAAATTTTCTGTTGTAATCATTTTAATGGGATTTCAGCCTACTTTGTGAAAAGGACAATTAAGGATTTTAAGATAAAAGCAGTTATAAATTAATTATTAAATTGTCAAAGTAATATTTGGGTGTTTTGTTGATACTGCCAGGTTTTAATCCTTCAATCTTGGGATCATCATAAAATAAAACTTTATGTGGAACAGAGTTAGACATGGGGGACTGTCTAGGGTGACACAGTGGTCCACCCAACAGAAATGTTCACACACTACTAGAGACTTCACTCCTAAGTGGAGAGAAATTTGCACTTCGTTAACCATATACAAAGGATTCAAGAAATGAAAAAAGTTAGGTAACAAACTTATATTAATAAGCTTAGCAATAATCCATTAAAATAAACAGTACGTATTGTAATTTTTACACTTACATCTATCATTAAATTACACAATTCGTGTAGTTATTTTTTTAAGTTTGGTCATTTCATTGAATGTATGTGTGTGAGGCAACCAGGCTCACACAAGAGCACTAGTAATCATGTCTTGATCATACAATTCTGATAAAAGAAGGCAATTGTGTTAATAGGTTACATCATGGGCTCACTATATAATGGTTTGAGTTGAAGCCTTAAATGTCTAATGTATTATACTAGAGGCTTGATGTGTACCTATTACTGTAGTACACCATCCATGGGTTACATGTCAGGACAAAAACGTAATGCTGCTTTTCAGCTAAATGTACCGAGTCTAGCTACAGCCCTAATTGTGTAATGGCTCATACTAAGGCATGATGGGCTAATATTATTACCCCATTCCAACATATAGTTACATTGCGGACATATATTACATCCCATCTTGCAGTTCATAGTATACAGTACTGTATTGTCATGTGCTAGCTACATCCAACTGCCACTGTTCCAAAGTCTACCACAGCATATTAAAATAATAGAGTGTTAATATTACTTACACCCTCCCTGTTTCCCTGCACTGGGGTCTCATTTATCCATTTTTTACTGAAAATTGAAACTGGTTATTGATGCAGTGTTGGTAATCACAGTTGTCAGGTGTTATAGACTACAGGAATACCACTTTAGCTCTTATACATACAATTAACCTCAGTTTGATTAGTCTACTGAATGTTTGAGTCAAACACCCTTCTTGTGGGTATGACTACAGTACTGTACTAGAACACCATCTATCTTTCATGTTAACATTGCTTCACCATCCCCCAAAGTTAGATACAGTATTGTACAATATGTCAGCATCATCATACTTGACACCATGTTGCATTAAATTCTGATATCACAATGCTCATCTAGAGTCAATCTTATCATACTTCATGGGGTATCAATATAAGTGAATGTTCAATCTCGTATTACTGAAAGTACTGTACATTCATGGGCTTGAGTGAGCTGAAATGAAAATGGTAAGGTGGATGTGAAATAACAATGAATGATAGGAAACACTGCCATGGAGTTAAGAGAGCAGCTGGGTATTGAGAGTACTGTATTGTATTGTGTCGATGAAGACTGGGATGGTTTGGGCATGAGAGATCGAAGAAGTGTAAATGTTGAGAGGATAGCCAAGGGTAGGCCAAGAATGACATGGAACGAGGTTGTGAGAGGTAAGAACCTGAGGGGTATGAGAGGGCACATCATGGAGAGCTGCCATCAGGTAATTACAGCTGGAAGATGATGATTACAGTATAAACATCCCCATATGACTGGTCAACTTACAGGCAGCAGACATTGCACAATGCTACTGTACCTCTGACCTCAAATACTAATTGACTACAAATAAGAGTACTGTTCTGTATGTACAGTAATTATCAAGAAATAAGTATTTTGCCAAGTGTTCATGAACAAATTTTACTCTGCAAAGGTAAAATTATAGGAATACATTACATTAGATATTATAAGAAGCTAATTTTTTTTTTTTACAAACATATGCTTCAGCTCTGCCTTACTGGAAAAAATGGACAAATTAAAACTTATTTTTTATACAGTTGGTCCTCATATTACGCGGTCCCGCATTCCGCGTTTCACCGTTAACGCGGTGCCTTGCCAGAACCTGACATTTTCACATTCCGCGGTCGTGAACCCCATTACGCGGAGAGCGGCTGGCAAGCCGCGCCATTTTTGGATCCAAACCTCCCGCCATCCGCCATGTTGTGTAAGAGGCGCGAAAATGGTGCGCACAAGGTCGCCCAGTCATCAAAACATGACCAGTTCTTCACCCGCCACCCACTACAGCCGGCCCAAGTCAGTGATAGTGATAATTATAGTGAGGATATGGACTTATATGAACTTTGGGGGGTTTGACAAAGAGGCCCTGCAAGCCTCTGTGGTGGATAGTGATACAATTGATACAAGTGATACAGGTGAGGGCCAATAATCTGCCCTCTGCCTCGGAACCAACCGCCCATCCCCGTGTGCCCAGCCATCTTTTCTACTAATGTAAGTGTTAAAAAACCTAATATTATTGATATTTCTCTTAATTATTAATTGTGTGTGCATGCCATCATAAAGTTAAGATAATATTTTTACTACAACATAGTTGTGTGTCATCAAAAAGTGGAGTTTGGGGATCGGCCCGGACTCCATTTCAATTAATCCCATATGTTATGTTATTCACTTTACGCGTTTCTCACTTTCCGCGGTACCCTCCGGGTTACATTAACCGCGTAATATGAGGACCAACTGTATAACAATATGAATGTTGGACTGGCAAAAAATTACATTCACCACACCAAATGATTTTCTAAAATAATTAACAGCTTTAATCTACAAAATATTGTGTAATATGACGTACAGTAATCATAAATACACACATACAGGGAACTTTAATTAACACTAAGTATTGCAAAAAAAACAACTAACCGGTTAAGGTATTTTTAAAACATTATTAATATATTATTAGACACATGAGTTTTAACGACCCTCCTCTGTTGACAACCAAGTTTACAACCAGATGTTTTCTTAATTTTAGTCATGGAGGACACCACACTTCAGTGCTTGACAGGGAGGTGTGGCGGTAAAATGAACTTATTCCAATATTAGTTAATTTTATCGCCACACCTCCCTGTCAAGCACTATATTGTGGCGTCCTTCATGACTCAAATTTTTGGAAACTGGTTATAAACATGATCCCGTCAACGGAAGATGGTGATTAAAACTCTGGGTGTTAGTACTGTACATTCCCACTTGATCTAAAAAAATTGAAGCATTCCCAGGAAAGTTATTTACAGTGAATTTATTTAAAGTGAGCCTAATTTTCCTAAAAAATGGCAGGTCACAAGCCCCCACTCCCAATACAGTACATTCTCATTAAAGGACATAAGCAAAAGAGTAATACTGTACACAATACTAAAGTAAATTTAAGGGATATTAAAATAAACTGTACTGTAGTAAATTCACACGTGTACAGTATTACTAACTTCTTACCGGTATTGTGGTTTTCCACTCGCACTGTCAACAGTTTTGGAAGGTAAAAAGTAAATCATTTGCCTGCGAATTTTTCTTCAGTACAATATTTTAATGTCTAAATGTCAGTTTTTTTTCATAGTCTTCTGCAGGAAAAAGTATTTATACTGTACAGGTATTCTTAATCCACATTTTGTATGTACTTTTAAGAATGTGTATATCTCCATGGCCAAAGCTGCTAAGTATGTGCAGTTCTCCATGGCCACAGCTGCTGAGTAAGTGCAGATCCTAATGGCCATTAAGTACTGTAAGTGTGGATACTATGTTCCTCAAACAAGTTATCATCGACCAAGTGCTCCAGTTTCTTTAACATCTCTAAATCAATTTACAAATTTTCATCCTTCATATTATAACACTACAGTACATGGCTTTCACTACTGAGCTGGCAATACTAATCACTTAAACTCTCATGGTATTTATGCCCAGATTGGTACTATATATAAAAAATAAATATTTTTTTTAACCAAATTAAAGGAAACTAATTCATCTAGAATGTGTTTTTTTTTCTTTCTTTTTTGTAAAATGATTATTTAGTTTGAAAAAAAAAATTTAAAAATATATTTAGTTTATGATTTTTTTTACATATTTTTATGCCATCAAAAATTTTCATATAAGCAAAGATATGAGAACTAAGTATAAAAACAATACAATATTGTAACATTGAAAAAAAAAAAACAGGACAATTAAGATACCATACAAACTACAGGTACTGTACATCCGGCACCTGCATGGTTATCTGTCACGCAGCTTAGAAAGAGCACTGATCCCTTCCTTAAACCTCACCAGGGCCAGCCCTTGCCAACCACTGGAGTACTCTATAATGCAACCCTGCTATACAATACGATAAAATGTCATAGTAAAGTACGTACCACGTGTAGATCTGGTGCTATTATCACCGTGTGTATACAGTACAGCTACTCCTCGACTTACGACCCGCCTCAGTCGTACCCAAATTTTGTCAAATTACGTATTTTTGAGTCCCAACGTCAGTACACTGACAAAAAATTTTTTTGTAATTCACTTTAAAATGACTGGCAAGCTTAAAAGTGAGAGTTTTGTGGTGCTGAGAAGAAAAAGAGACCTATTTTAGATTTCCTATGTATTATTTAAGCATTTTCGACTTACGACCTGGATTTGGGTCCCTAACCCCATTGTAAGTCGGGGAGGAGCTGTACTGTAATTACTGTACCTGACAGTTTTGAGTTTAAGAAGATAATATTGAAGTATAAAAATCTACTACGGTATTTGGGTCTTAAATATGACATTCAAGTACTGTATAACAATCAGACATGGTAATTCGTTCATAATTCTTACAAAAGTTACTGTCATAAAACAAGACATTACTATCATATAATTTGTACAATAAATTTGTCTAAATGAGGAGAGATTGTGATATTCCATTTAATAGTCACATTTGGATTGGTTGGCACAAATACAGTACAGCCACGCAAACCTCTGGTTGAAAACCAAGGATTCCCGACAGCATTCACCGGAACTAACTCGAAACCTTGCTGACCTTCCCATTGTAACCCATCTCTGATTATGTAGGAGTGTTGAAGATAAGAGCTACTACCACCATAGGCTGAAGGTTTGAAGTGTTCACCTTGGCACTAACGCATGTGCTTCTTGGCCCTCACTTGACATAATTGCTGAAAAGCATTATTTTGCAGGTTGAGGCTTCAGTTCCAGCTTATCTCAGCAGCCACAGGGAGGAAGATGTGTTGACCGATTCAAGGTCATCCATAAAATGGGATTTCAGGATCATTCTCCTATTTATTGCTTGGTGCTAAGGTAAGGCAGGTCAAAAATCTCATGCCAATTAGAAATTTGAGGAAGGTGCAAGTGTTAGTGTGACTCGCCATCTGATAGAAGAGCAAATACAGTGATATTTCCATTAGCCGGAATAATTAGTGCAGAGCTCTTCCGGGAACGAGAGATTTCTGGGTAACGAGACAACTCTCTCAAAGATGGAAAAAAATCCCTCATCCCCGGAATTTTCCAGGTAACGGAAAAAATTTCTCGAAAGTTCTAGAAATTGCCCATTACACTATCTCTCAAACACGGAAAAATATCCCTCATCCCCGGAATCTTCTGAAATATTCCGGGTAAAGGAAAAATTTTCTCGCCAGTTCCAGAAATTGCCCATAACATCATCTCTTGAACCCGGGTATCAGGAAAATTTTCTCAGAAATTTCAATTTCGACAATCGGAGAGTTCCTGGTTTGAGGGGTTCCTGCTAGCAGAGATATTACTGTAGTAAAGAATAATCCTTATGAACTGCTAAAACCCTCAATCTCCTGAAAATTAGTAGCCTATGCAGGTCAAGAAGCACATGTGTTAAGAGTGACTCCCAGCGTGAAGTACTGTACATACTGTAGTAGAGGGTTTGTGGTGAGATCAACCCTACAGTATATACAGTACTGTACTGTAGTTTCTAATCAGTTTTAGTAAAAAAAAATTCAAAGGTCCTAAGATAGCCGAGTTTTCACAAATACTTAACCTTTAACAGTCAGCCAAGCCTAAAATCAATTATAAAGTGTAATTACCTTTAAAAAGGTCAATCGAAAGTAAATCAGATTGAAAATTTCATAAAAGACATTGATTTCTTGTCGTTAGTCCAAAGTCACTACATCTGCATCTTGTTTTATTCTAGAAGTGCTTTTCCAGGTTTTACTCAAATCATTTTGCTTCATGTTACTACTGAAAACACTATTAGAATATTTAATTACCTTGGCTATCCTTGGTGTACTGGTACTTACTGAACTCTTTGCCCTTTGAGGACCACTTGATGAAGTTCTGATAATTATGTGATTCGATTTTGTTTCACTTTGCTGGTGTTTGCTTTCGTCTGGCACTGTATTCACTGAATTATTCTGTAACTTTACAATATATTTCAAAGGTGAAGGTTTTGTGCTGTTGACCTGGAACCAAGATTTATAGTTAAGCTGATTAGGAGAAACACTTGACAGGACACTACCTCCAGCTTCAGGTCTGCTGCTCACGATAATTCTGGTAATCTTCTCTTCCTCTCCAGTATTTTCTTTATAGTTAGTTGTGTCCGCTTCAGGTGCTTTATCACTCACACACTCAGACACGACTGAGGAAGATTCATGGGCCCTGAAAACTGTTTTTGGGTTGTCTACAGCATTTTTGGCCACAGATGGCAAGGAACTTCTCAACAGCAGGTTTGAAGTATCATTGGGCAAGAGAAGAGTATATGGTTCACCATTCTGGAATAAGCCTTTACCACCGTTCAAACCTTGGGAAATCTCGGTAGTGTCATCTGCAACAGTTGCCAATGTTGCAAATGGTAAAGGATTGCCACCATTCGTTATCCGAAAAGATCCCGTAATTGGAACAAAATGTCCATCGGTAACTTTCTTGGGAACGGGAAACCTAGTCTTTGTTTCCGAGGTTTTCGTTTCACGTACATTAGATGTTTTGTTTTCCCTTGACTTTTTTCCCACACTGTTTGCAGAAGACTGATTTAAATTAGTGTCAATGCATTTCTTCAAGCTTACGACAAACTTTGAGGATGAATTGTCAATTGGATTCTTCATTAAGTTTCCAGATATTTGACTGGATGATATAGCCATTTCTACAAGTCCCCTAATCTTATGTTCTTTATTATCTGCAATTGTAATAACCCTTTTCGTTACTGGATTTCTTAACTTTTTTATACAATTTTCACCAATAAATAGGGTCTCCATTTCACTAGCCCAATAAGTTACAAATTTCTTAGAACATTGTGAGCTACATATGGCACAACCTGCCATATCCCGAGGTGTTAACTTGGTCGTTTTACCACTGGTGATGTTGACTCTGCAGGGTTCACAAACAGGGTTCAACTCTGCTCTGTGACCGATGAACGGCCAGCGTTGCTCGTTGCACACAATACACACTGGTCGGTGCTCTTCGGCGTACTCCTTACACACAGCCGACATGAGCTGAAGAGTTACGGGTACAAACTTTTGACATGCCTTTTTGCTCTGTTCACAGAGATGTCTTTTAATAGTAAATCGGTGGATGTTCTCTTTACAGTAAATGCATTCACAATAATTTTTATCACCAGGTGACTTCCCACACCAGTTATGGTGCACTGCAAGTTTGTCACAGGTGTCCACATCCAAACAAAATTGATTTTTGCAGGACGCACACTCTATACGACTCAAGAGGCGTACCTGAAAGAAAAAGACAATCTGTTATTTCATCACAAAGCTATACAGGTACTGTCATACAACACACTTCAGAAGAATTATTCTAAACATACAGTAGTAATTACCTACACAAAATAGAGCTGCACTCTTAATATTATTGTTATTATTACTATTATTACTACCTGTATTATTACAAACACACATACACACATTATTATTATTATTATTATTACAAAATTATCATTACTAGTCAGTCACACATAAACACACTGGCTCTTTACCTGTGCTTTGGCCTTGTTCTTAGCAACCAATACATTCAGCTTAACAGACTCCTTCCAACCCAGTAATTTTTCTGGGACATCTTGCAGTTGATTAAATCTTGCTCTGGGAGTGAGGTGTGCCACTATCTTGTCAATATATTCTCTTTCAAATGCACATCTGTAATTGGAGAATGAAGACATAAGGAAACTTTCTGCAAAATCTTATGTTATTAAAGTCTATATAAAAACACTGCAGGTACAGTCGCGGACAAAATTTCACTCCCTGGCTGTCGTCTGGTGTGGGGTTGTTGTTTTATGCCATTTGGGGTCGGTGCTACTTCATTTTGGGAGGGAATGAACTTTTGACCCTAATTTTACATCACAACTAAATAGCTGGTACAATGTATAAATGATAATTGTCTTAGCGATTTTAATATTTTTAGGTTAGGTTAGACTTAAGGTATCTTTATAGACCGCACACTGTAATAGCACAGCAAAACATACCTTTTACAAGAATAAAAATGAATAATAACAGAGGAAGGGAAAATCTGTATGTACAGTACAGTACTGGGTATACACCAGTTCTTGTTACCACCTACCCAACAGTGAACAGAAAAAGCTTAAAGAATAACAAAAGGCTACCATAGAGTGGCTAACATTGGAGACAATAGATACACGTTAAATAAGAAGATAACAGGGAAGACAGAAATGGTGGGAGATCAACACACAGGTGAGGGATATAAGAAATGGAAAGCAGTGTTCTAAGTGTAAGGGGGGGGGGGTCGTCTTGGGAAGGACGACAAAATGAATAAATGCCTCTCCAAAAATATATTACTGAACCATAATACTTATCTTACAAAGCAATTTTATTCTACTGTTTGAAATGTGTGAGTATTATCATTTGTAAACCATTAATATGTGAATAATATAGATAATGGAATGTATATGGAAGGTCACTCATGCTAATGGATATAAGTTTGGAGTTGTGTTGGACTAAATCAAAGACAATGATAGATAAAAGCAAAGTAATGAAAGCTGGGAGACAAGAGACACAAAGAGAGAAATAATAGGACTCTGAGTGCAATAGGAAAAAAAAAGTAGAGGGTAAATTAATATCCAAAAATACAAACCACAGGCACGCGGAGATGTGGGAAAAAAAAAGTAGCATCGTGCCGAGAGCAGATGATAATGTTGAGTGACTGGGAAACGGTGCATACAGTATAACTGAAAGGTGGACGGTATGAAGAAAGAGGTGAAACCGAGGGGAGGGGATGGGATGATATATTGGACAGCTAGGCATCAGTGTACAGAGTAAAGTTGGGGTGGGGGGAGTAGGGGAGGGTGTAAGGGGGGGGTATAAAACACTGGATGACAAATAAATAAGTAAAACTGGTTACTGTATATGTATAAGCAAGTACCTTACTGAGGAGCAGAGATTAAGGCACCACTCACCTAAAGTTACAATGAGTGCAGCTGAAGATGACGGCTCTCTTCCCTACAGCCTGATCAGGGAATGAAAATAATTTCCTCTTCTTGGCAGGAGGTCTTGATTCCTCAGTGTCGATGGATCGCTTTTCCTTTACTACTGCAGCCTTTGACATCTTACTAACAGTTTGCTTTTCCTTATTTTTTACCGATTTTTTATTTTTCTGTTTAGTCTTGTGCTTGGTGCCTGTGTTAGTATTTTCTTGCTGTGGCAGGTTAAACTGGGGCCTCAGAGCTGCAGCTGTCTTGGCAAACAGAAGTTCACTTGCAGACATGTCTAGTCTTAAGATCTGAATTCCATCAATAGTATATTCTGTTAAAGGTCCATCAAATACACCATCTGCATTTCCTTGTGTTGCCGTCACAGTGTTCTCTGTACTCGAAAATACTGAATTATCCGACTGCCAACCAGTGACCCCATCTTGGTGTGTCTCTTTACCGAAAGCACTGTCTGGCAGCTCATTCATAAAGTCTTTTGCATTAACTTTTTCACTCTCATCATCTGGCTGTTCATTTATCAAGTCTTCTACATTAACATCTTCACTTTCATCATCTGACTGTTCATTTGTCAAGTCTTCTACATTAACTTCTTCACTTTCATCATCTGACTGTTCAAATATCAAGTCTTCTACATTAACTTCTTCACTTTCCTCATCTGGTTCCTTATTCATTAAGTCTTCTTTTACATTAGCAGTTTCATTCTCTCCATCAGCTGACTTCCCCTGGACCGATTCATAATTTTCTTTTGGGATCCCGGCAAAATTATTTCCGTGCATTTCCATATCACCCGAAGAGAAGCCTGTCGACTCGTAGTTCTCCGGCATATTGGCAAATACGCTCTTCAACTGCAGGAGACCTTCAGGCAACGGCGACTTTGCAAACCGTGATGCTTCCTGTCGTTCCATTTCCTCAAGGAGACTGGCTTCTTCCTCGTCTGACTCCAAGTACAGCTCCATCTGGTTCTCCCCCACTGCAAAAAAATCCACAGGGTCCTCCATCTTGTTCCTCTTTACTGAACTTACCCGGGTTAATCTGGAAAAAAATGGAATTAATTTTATTAGTCAAAGAGGTCATTTCTGGACAATGTGATTTGTTAATACAGTACTGTATAGACATTAATACCCAAACTACAGTACAGTACTATGGATACAGTTTGTACTAAACATACTGTATGTTACAGTCGATGTGTTAAATCACAGCAACCTGTAAAATGCCAGTGAAAATATTGCATTTTATATTGTGTATATGGTAGGTTAGGTTAGATCAGATTCGTTTTTCTTTTATTTCTCAGCTGAATAACCTAACCTAACCTACCTATACACAAAACTGAAAATGAGTCAAATTTAAGATATAAAAATGAAGGTATCTTATTCAATATTATTTCTAACATGTTTATTGACTTTGCTTTTCCTTAAATGGCTTACTGACGTAATTAAGAAGTCGTCAAGCTAACGTAATAAACAAAACACCATTAAATATGATACCTTTGTTAGTTTACATTTAATTATTGCAGTTTTTGTGTTGTTTATATTTATATTGTTTATTCCTGTTTGAGTTGTTTACTGCTTATTTGTTGCTTGTCTTGTTTCTTGTTTATTCCTGTTGTTTGTGTTGGTCACTGTTTATTTGTTATTTGTGTTCTTTACTATTTAGTACTGTTGCTTGTGCTGTTTACTCCTGTTGCTTGTGCTGTTTATTCCTGTTGCTTGTCTACATCTTGCCCCAAGAGGCCCCCCCCCCCTCTCTCTCTCTCTCTCTCTCTCTCACACACACACATTGTACAGTAGTCTTATCTGAATTAAATACTGCACTGTTGAAAGCTTTGCTACCTAGGGAATCACCTGAAGAATCTCCACACCAACTAATTTCACCTAAAGATTAACCACCCTATCACTATGGGGGGGGGGGTGGTGAAGCTAGGTTATGTTAGCATTAGGTTGGGTTAGTGTCAGGTTACGTTAGCACGGAGTTGGGTTAATTAGGTTAGCGTTAGGTTAGGATAGCATGTTAGATTAAGTTAGCATTAGTTTAACATAGTTTTAGGTTAGGCTAGTGTTAGATTAGGTTACGAATATCTCAAACAATGTAGTATAACACCAGCAGTATTCTTCTTCTTGGCAATAGACTAGGGGCCATTTAGTCAGCCTAAATAGTCTAAATTCAGCACCACACTTCACCCAACAACTTCTTAATAGTGTTTGAATAAATGTGACTTTTCTCCCTGTGACTTTTTGCCGTTCACCATTGTGATGCAGCTCTACTCTTTGCAAAATTAAACTTAAAAAATCAGTTCACCTTCACTGTATTATTACTTGGATTTCTCAAAGGTCAGACAATCTAGCCCATAGTTATGTTTCTGAATCATTCTCAGTGTAAAACTTTTGACAGTTATTCCCATTGTTTCTTTAATGGAATTATTCTCAACACCTCTAACTCCTCCCACAGGTTATGTACAGTGAAACCTCCATATAACGGACTTCTCACGCCATTTACTCCATTAGATGGGGGTTTCACACCTAATGGACCCTCGACATAACAAACTTTCTTCTCCAATATATAATACAGGTAGTGTGTCTGTTAAATAAAGGTCTCACTGTAACAATTCAACTTTATCTAATTTATGTATAATTTCAACTTTCTACATAAAAGTGAATGTAGTGCATCCTCTCTCCACCACTGCACTCACCACTATCACTTGTACACCAAAAAAGGCAGAAACCAGAGAAATAAGAGAAACAAATGACATAACCAGAGGGTAAATCTACCTCATATTCAAAACACTAAAACAGAGACAAAAGTGGTGGGACGGCTACACCAGCGTACAGAAAATAAAGTAGCAACCTCTGGAAATTCACGAGACATTTGGGCATTAAATTCGTGGTCGTTTCCAGCTTGTGGGTATTCATATAGGAGATATTCCACAGTACAGCATATAATTGTTTTAAGAAATAAAGGATATAGTAATGCAGCTTATTTATATAATCATAAATACTAAAGATGTTATTTCTACCGGCTATGACAAATGTTCAAATGCCAGATTTGGAATTTTTTGCAGTCTGGCAATTTTGCTAAATACCAGATGCAAGACCCAGACATCTCATTAGCATGGCAACTTATGATTCCCCCTCTCCCCCTCCCCCTCATTTTATTTCACCTTATGGTTAAACTCCCTAATGCTACCTGGGAAGCTGGGGTAGGTTAAATTAGTTTAGGTTAGATCAGGTCAGGGTACGTTTGCATTATGGAGGTTAAAATTATAGTGAAATATACTGGGGGTAATTTGTATGTGATCCTATAATGCCACCATATACATGTACTGTAATTGGTATACTGCTGGTGTATAGCTTTCAGAATTTGAGTTAAGTCATTTATAACAAGTGCTGTATGGAAAGAAGATTTTGCAACACTTTCAGCACCTCTGGAGACATACATAAGATATTTAAAAAAAAAATTGCTATGTAAGAAGCCTCTTCAAAAAAAAGATGGCAGCCAACTGCACTGGCTAACCGTTACCCCCAGAAACTTGATCTTTAAATTGATTAGCACCAAGGTCCCCAATCACTGCTGGGTAGACAAGAGGCAAATGGTGTAAAGAAACTTAATTTCACCCTGCCCAGGGATCAAACCTGAGTTCACTCACTTGTGAGGTGAACATCCTGACCATTATACCACAGGTTGGAAAAGAATAAAATAATAAATAAATAAATAAATACTTTATACAAGGACTGACCCCAGAGGTACTGCAATGCCTGGGCAATTTGCAGCAAAGGTGGAGCAAACCATGACCCAAAAATCAATTTAATATTGAAGATCCCACATGAGGATTATATCAGATATTAAGGTGATAAGAACTCGTACTACTTTTTAGTACCCAACACAAGACATCCACCAAAATATTTTCTTTGCCTTCATCGTCTTCATCACTTGTCAGTTTATTACCCAGTCAGTTTTTAATGACAGTTATAAATCAATAAAAGATTTTGAAATTCATGGAGATTTTTACCTTATAAGCACACACAGCTTTTTTTTATTGCACCCAAAATGGCATGTGACTCATACAAGACAGGCTAAGCCAAGAAATGAAGTGACACTTTGTCAATCTAATAAAAAAGTCTTTCTACATAACTATTTATAGGAGGTATGAACATGAATTATGTATTTGTAAATGCTACAGTAACATATTGCACAAAGGTTGACACAAATAATGGGATCAAAATTATTGCACATTGTTGTGTTCCAATATACTGTACAGTATTTCAGAATAAGAAATTACAGACAAGGTGTATGAGAGGGTAACATCCCAGTTCATGTACTCCCCGTGTCCACAGTACTACACGTACAGTACAGTATTTCCATTTGGTCTAGGCTAGGTTAGGTTAGGTTTAGTTAGGTTAGGTTAGCTTTGGTCAGGTAAAATAATGCTCACAGTTCATTAACTCATAGTAGACATCCTGTGAATATGTGATATAATGGGAGTAGACAAAATAGGCATAAACCTCTTGTCAACAACCTGTGTCTAGGAAATGGCAAAAAAATTACAAGTCACTTCTGACAGCAGATAACCTGAACCAATGAAACCTAACCTGTTAAGGTGATTAGGTTAGGTTTGGCTGGTTCATTTCCTCTGCAGTCAGAAATGGCTTGTAGTCTCCTGGGCATGAGTTGGTGAAAAGACTGGTATCAGTACATTCGAAATGAATTTTTAAATTTATTTTAAAGCTTTTAATATTTCCCTTATCCCCTCTGGAGTGCATTTTATGCATCAACTGAAACAATTGAGCAAAGATCCTGTTAAAACTTTCCTCCAAAAGTAGGACCTCCTCTGGCTTACACCTTTATCTTTACCCACTAACTTGCATTTAGGTCGCTGTAGCGGGTCACCTAATAACTGAAATGTAGACCCCAGGTAAGACTAAATAATTATATACTATACTTTCAACATCAGATACACATTTGTGAGGGTTTAAAACCAGAAAAAATAACCAAGTACACAACATGTCCTTGAGACCTACGAACTGGACGTCTTGATCAACGAAAAAAAAAGGTCAAACACGATATTGTAAATCATAAATTATACAAAATTCTTCTTGCACTGACAATAAAATCAATATCCATAACGAGAACTAAACACGGGTATACTAACTAACTTCCACACATACAGTAGAGTAATCCATTAAAATAAAAATAAAAATCACCAATTACTGTGTACAAATGGCAACACAAAACTAAAAACATTAAAAATATTAATAATAATATTTACATCATTCTCGCTAATTATTTATCTATACATACACATGCTTATACTATGAATAGTTACTAAATTAAAAAAATCAAATGGTAAGGAGACAAGAGTGAGCCATCGCGCGTCACTTGTTCCCCGCCACCAGTCGCTAGAAGGCTGGCTGCTCTCACCACACGTAAACAAACCACTATATCCCTCATTACACCCTTATCACAGTCTCTTACCTCCTCTCTACTACACTACAAGCCTCTTGGGACTTTAACTCTCGCGTCGGTTGTTCATAATCTCCATGACGGTTGTATTATGAGGGTAATTGTGGTGACTTTTAACATTAATCCTCTCTTCTCCTCACTTTGTCCGCGCAACTCTAGGCACGAGTCACACGAGGCCCTGAACACTTTATTTTATTAACATTTATCATTAATAACATTATTGTATAAATTAATTCAGATAGAAGTATTAAATATTTTAAATTTAATGGTTAATAAAACATTGGAAAAATTTATTGGGTGCGTAATGTGTTTTTATGGTGTTTTGTTTAACGGCGGGAAGCAGCAGCTGTGTTGTGCTGCACAGCTGTGTTAGGCGTCTCACATTTACCGCCAAATATATTATAAAGCATAAACTTCATTGTTCACGTTAATTTAAAACTGTAAATAGTTTATGGTCGTTTAAATTTCTGTGTTTAGTTTATATTAATATAAATATTTTACATTATTGATTTCTCGTTTATGTTAGGCGGAAGTAGTGTGTTGAACACCTTAGAAAGATGTTTTATTAATTTGTTATACATATTCTTGTGTTATCATCATTAATTAATTATGTGCATTTAATTTAATAAACAATAAAATTATCGCAATGGTATTTTGTCCTGTCTTTCTAGTTTTGTTATTGAATATACTTATGACCACAGATCTCAATTAATGTTTAACCAAGGTACAAGGTAAATTAACACAGCACGAGCCAATTTGGTCTTGGTTACGCCTCAAGGGTGATTCGACCAACAAAATACTGATTGGAACATTGGATTTTTTTTTAATTTACCAATCCTAATACGTAATCTGACGCTGGTGAGTGTAGACATCCAAGTCAGTTCTCATGTTGCTTCACACCTACCTCATACATCAAGCTGCTTCATGTGATTCCACCGTATAGTTTCTTAGGTATTATTGTACTTTCGGACATGGCGCCCCCGAAACTTATAAACTAATGTTACATTTAGATTTCGCTATTCTGAGCATTTTGAACCCCATATATACGTGGCGGAAATGGATAATAGCGTCGCAATTGAATTTAATTGATTTTCGGTAGTTTTTAGTCTTGGTCTCGGGAGATGTTATCTGCGCCTCACAAATGTGCAGTGTTGACTGACGTCATCCAGTCGTGACCAATGAGATATCAATTTCATCACGCGAATTTTTTCAACCGATCACATTTGATTTTTTTTCAAAGGAAGCAGCCTGGGTATGATTTTAATTTCGTTGACCAGTTTCACAAGGGCCGTGGTGGAGGTTGGTTGTTGTTTGTGCTCCTACGATTATTTTAAATTTATTGCCAAGTTTTACGAGAAAGAACATAAGAATGGAGGAAACTGCAGCGGGCCTATTGGCCCATACTGGACAGTCCCAGTTACACCCAGCCCCTATTGCTCATATACCCATCCAACCTGTGTTTGAAGCTATCCAGCGTGTCCGAGTTAATGATGATATTTGGTAACTTGTTCCAGTCGTCCAATACTCTATTTCCAAACCAATGTTGACCTATTTCGCGCCTAAATCTAAATTTGTCTAATTTAAAACCATTGTTACGAGTTCGCTCATTCTATCGATCATTCTATCCAATTCTTACGTATCCCTCGTCCTTCCTCTTCTGAGGTATTGTACTTACGGACATGGTGCACCCCAAAGTTTTTAACTCTTGAAACATTTAGGTTAGTTTAAGCTAGGCCTACCGGGCGCCCGCCTCCCGGCTAGCGGTCAAGTTAGGCCTGCCGGGGGTCCGGGGGCAGAGCTCCCGGCTAGGAGTTAGGATTTGTTAGGTCAGATGACGGGAAGGGGGGGGGGGGAACTAGCAATTTCCGCCAAAAATGGAGGTCAGATTCGTTTAAAACACACCAAAATCTACTGGAAAAACATATTGGTTAACCCCGAGGGACTCGTGTCCTAAAATAAAAATTTACCGTTTCTTTAATATTCTAATTTGTTCTGGTAGCTGGCCAAACAACTGCCCCACTGTTTACCAGCTTCATAGACAAAAACCTAGGAGAATTTCTAAACATATCTTCTCGCGAACTACTATTTAACATTTGCTTCAGTAGCAAGTTGTTGCTACAGTAGGTTCCGTATCAACAACGCTCAAGTAATTGATGCGTGGCCATTTGGCTCATTTCAATGATAAATTACACCCAAAGACGACGAGAACTGTTACCACAACTCTTGCACGTCACCCGTCTTCATTGTAATTTGTCGTCTTTGTAGTTTTCCTGTTCACACTATTTCACTTGTGGACAATATATCCAGGTTGTGACTTTTTTATTGACCTTTTCCCTCCTGGTTGAAACATGATTTTAGTTATTTGTACATTAATATATACTAATCTTTTTCTCAAGACCTAATTTAACATGCCCGGTTAATATTTTCGTTTAATGACTGCGGCAAGATTTTCGTATTAGGTTAGGTAGGTTTGGTTAGGTTAAGAAGGTTTGGTTAGGTTAGGTTAGGTAGGTTTGGTTAGGTTAAGTAGGTTTGGTTAGGTTAGGTTAGGTAGGTTTCGTTAGGTTAAGTAGGTTTCGTTAGGTTAGGTAGGTTTGGTTAGGTTAGCTAGGATTGGTTAGGTTTGGTCAGGTTAGATTCTAATAAAACACCTAAATACACAAAAAAACTATTCGCATAACAAAAAGGTACAACAGCCATTAGACAAATATTTACCGTAAGTCCTACTGTGGTTGACAAGCTTGTACAGCAGCCAGTTTACACGCACAACAGGATGTCCAGACGGGCGCACTTTGATTGATACACAAATACACCAATTTACTAGACAGTTTACAAGTGAATCCTTAAATCAGTTAATTAATATTCATTTATACACAAGGTAAGTTTGTTAGTGATGTGAACTAAAAAAAAAAAGGAAATGATGCTAGAGATGTTTATTAGCGGTCTTCGCTATGTTCAACAACATTATGTGCTTGTCTACTGCTAGTTCCTAAGACTAGTTGATATACACTGAATACAAAAGACTCATTCTTAATAAATGAAAATATCTGATGATTTTGTTTTTATTTCAGTAAAATACAAAAAATAAGTTCTAATTAATCAGTTGCAGGTAACTATAATGTACACATAACATTATGGACCTTTAATTTTGACAAATTCCTCTTGATTAAAATTATTTTATCTTATTTTTTGACCCCTTAAAATAAACTTATGTGAATTATATATACATATATTTTTGTTGATGTCAGCAGGAGAGTTGCACAAATAGCTTAACAGATTATCACTCAGCAGAGTTGCCAAGTTGATGTTTTTCACGCCAAATTTTGCCGAGATATGTTGGCTTTTTTTTTCTACTCAAGTTGCCGTTTCTTTGGGGCTTAACCCAGTGCTAACCTCACAAACAAGGTAAAAGGTTGAACGATCAATATTTGTTTTACAGGTACAGCGTTTAGTTATATAATTATGAAAATTGTACCTCACTTAATTAACATTTGGCGTTTAATGGCTAGTTTGATGGGCGGGATTTGGTGAGAATGTATCCCGGTTTGGCTGGAAGTTGGCAACCCTGTCAGTAATGTTTGGGCTGTTGTCGTAGTGGGTTGTTGTCCTGGGAGAATTGTTAACTGATGGTGGTTAACTAACATAATAGATTCAGGTAAGTTATATACTTTCATAGTACATGGATTATATCATTAAATTAACCTCACCCTTGGTTATATTACTGATAAAGTTGTTTATATAGATCGTAATTCAATTCTCTGCCAACATTGACCATTGATTCTTCAGTTTTAAGACTTGAGGTAGTGACTGGTTAAGAGAATTATCCACCTTGGCTTCTGGGTATATAATTGAGATTAACAGTTAGTAAATATGTAGAATAATGACATAGAGGTAGTGGTTGCGGTTAGTGATATACGTGACAGTGTAGGCTTTAACACACCCCCCCTCGTACTGAAATATTACAGTACTGAATTAACCCATATATAATATAGTCTTGGGTATGTAATTCTGTCGTAGGCAACAGGAGGATATATGGCATCTTAACCGAAAATTATGTATGACTGTTTTGAAGATAGTTTTACAATTACCATACATATAATTATTAAGAATGTTAGTAGTTAAATGTTCCTCTTAATGTCCAGTTCACAATCATATGTGGTGATTTATTTCTTTTGTATATTATCTATCAAATTTTGTAGTTGTCATGTAGCAAATATGAACTGTGACCAATGACGAAAATTGAGAAGGTAAAGGAGAGGGTTGCCATTATACTCCTTTGTATATATTGTGGGAGTTTCTGCTGGGATGCCAATTTTAATGTCGATTTTCTGTGGGAGAATGAAGGAATTAGAGATCGCCTGAAGAATCGCCACCCCAGATTTTTTTTTACGTAAAGATTAACCACCCTAATGCAAACATAACCTAAACTAACGCTAACTTACCTTGATTCTAATCTAACTAACGTAACCTAACCACCCTAATGTTAACGTAATCTAACTAAACCAACCTACCCTAACCTAACCGCCCTAATGCTAACTGACTCATGAGCAACGCTAGGGAAAAAATACTATAGAATTGAATAAATAAATTGTAAACTCTCGGGAATCTTTATTAAATCATAAAGAGGAATTGTGCAGGCCTGGTGACTGTTAAATGCAGAGACTTGCAGAGTTGACCCATTCATGACAAGAGATAATGTTGGTAAAGGTGGAGACAGTTTGCACCAGAAATAATTTATGGAATTGAACCAAATTTCTGGTGATACTATTTACATGATACTGAACAGAATCTGACCTAACTAAAAGAAACCTACCCAACCTTACCTAACTTCCACATATTAAGCAAAAAGAACTTACATGTACTGTACTTCGATATCTGGTACCAATGGAAGCAACTGAAACTAAGAGCAGATGACAACTTACACTGATACAGCAGATTTTTCAGAGGAAGTAGAAATGTCATTTTAGTGCCAGCTGATTTTATTTTATTTATTTATTTATTTATTTATTTATTTTTGCTGTCTTTTAGGTATTATCTTCTCGGTCATACAGCCAGGTTAGGTTAGGTTGAAATGATGTTTTTCCGATGTTTTTTTTTTTGTGTTTTGAACGATTCTGGCCATTTCAGATAGGTGGATGACCGAAATGATAATTTTACTGTGTTTTACTTCATAATTTCCCTCATCCTGAACAAGTTCCCCACTACAGGTGATTCATGATAATAGATAGTGAAAAAAAATACTTTGTTAAAATAAAAAGTTGTATTGATTTTATTAGTCAACTTTATCCAAAGAACAACTGTGGGAAATATGAACGAAATATGTAAACGTGTTCTGGAGTTAACAGTCTGCTCAACATTTACCCTAATGTGAACCAGCTGAACCCAACTTAACCTACCCCCACACACACAAAATTTTTTTTTTGCTTTTATCCTCTTCACCACTGATCGGCTCGTTAGCCGCTTGGGTGATCAGTCACGTTTCTGTTACACACTGTTGGCAAGTACTGGGCATGCACTGGCTCCTGAATGTATGTGAACCTGCTCCAGTGCTAGTCAAGTCTGTTCTTGAAACAGGTCACACTTGGTGCCGTCACAACATTCTGACAGTTTGTTCCAATAGTTCACAACTTTCACTCCTAAAAAGTTAGCCCTCACAGTTTTCTTGACTTGCGACTTCTTCAACCTTGAGCTGTGACCCCTTGTGGGGCGAGCTTCCACCAGCTCCAGGTAAGAACACTTGACTGAGTAGTGCCCTTTTAGATGTTTATACACCTTAATTAGGTCCCCCCTTGCCCATTTGTAGTATGAGCTAGGCAGTTGCAGGCGCTCTAATCTCTCTAGATGGCTGAGGTTCCGAAGTGCCGGCACCAGTAGGCCCTCCTTTGGACATTTTCAATCGACTGACAGTCCCTAGTATATCTCGGGGACCAGGCGGGGAAGCACCTCGCTCTTGAAGATCGTTACGAGGGGCGAACCATCTAGTATCTGAACGACCTTATAGGTGTCTAAACCTAGCCTAACCATTTATGATAGTAGATAAACCTAACCTAACTTAATCTAACCAAACCAATCTGACCAATATTATGAAGATGATTTCTACTTTCTTTTCTTTTATTTAATTTCAACATTTGCAAGGGAAAAAATGAACATGAACTTATGCAAATAATGTACGAATATCTGTACAGTACAATATTAAGGAATCGCACAGTCGTTGATAGAGTTTTGTGAAGTAGGCTACAGCACTAGACCATTTAGGTATGACGGTAGACGAAATAACAGAACCTAACTACAAAAATGACCAAAGGGTATGAGGTTAGGTTAATTGTATCGTATAATCGTTAGTAGGCGACGTGCTCATTTCTTACTAATTTTTCTTTTAGAGGCGAGTGTTGGAACAATGGCAGGTCATCCTAGCAACAGTGGCAGGTCATCCTAGCAACAGTGGCAGGTCATCCTAGCAACAGTGGCTGGTCATCCTAGCAACAGTGGCAGATCATCCTAGCAACAGTGGCTGGTCATCCTAGCAACAGTGGCAGATCATCCTAGCAACAGTGGCTGGTCATCCTAGCAACAGTGGCTGGTCATCCTAGCAACAGTGGCTGGTCATCCTAGCAACAGTGGCAGGCCATAGTGATATATATTGTGGACCTGCTAACTATACTACACCAAAATGGGCGATCATGGAATGCTGTTGCTCTCGTGGAACAGCCATCATGCCACGTTCTGTGATATTCTCTCAAGACTTCGTGGAAAGGTGAGCATCTCTACAGGTTGGGTTGAAGATTTTATATATTTGGGCTGTCCTGGCTTGAATTGTCTTACTGTTTACTATTATTTGTAAGCCCACTCACTCTCTACGTATATCCTGAACCACCATAAATTTGTGTAATGATTTAACTGTGTAAATATTTATCTGTCACCAGAGTAATATTTACCTAACATGAAAATAGTAAAAGATCATTAGCTTAGATTAGGTCATGTTGTCTAAATTTATTGATGCTAAAATTGATCACCTAAGATTAGAGATTCCAGTTTATTTCACCTGAAGATTAACCACCCTAACTATTTTAACCTAACTCCCAGGTGAAAAATGGGGTGGTGATATTTAGCTAGGTGAAATAAGCTGGGGTGTTTAATCTTCAGGTGAAATAAGCTGGAGTGTTTAATCTTCAGGTGAAATAAGCTGGGGTGCTTAATCACCAGGTGAAATAAGCTGGGGCATTTAATCTTCAGGTAAAATAAGCTGGGGTGTGTAATCTTCAGGTGAAATAAGCTGGGGTGTTTAATCTTCAGGGAATCTGTTTTAACAGTGTAGTGTGATATAAGACTAATGCTGTTGTAGGGTGTAGTGGGGAGAAGAATAATATGAAAGACAAAAGATCCATGTTTCTGATACAACACCTTGACGCCTTTTATTTCTTTTTCCTGCAGGCAAGCTTTACAGATGTAACCTTGGCGTGTGAAGGAAAATTCTACCCTTTACACAAATTGGTTTTGTCCACATGCAGCGAGTACCTTGAAAAAATATTTGAAAGTACACCTTGTAAACATCCTGTAATTGTTTTGCAAGATATTAAATGTAGTGAACTGGAAGCTCTTATAAACTATATGTATGTGGGTGAGGTTAATGTACCGCAGAGCTCCTTGACTTCACTAATTAAGGCAGCTGAACTTCTACAAGTCAAAGGATTAGCTGTACCTGATACACCGCCCTCTACAAGTAAAAAGAAATTGGGCGCTCACGAAGTCAGTGACGACCGAGTCAGTCCACAAGCTAAACGGAGGAAATGTGAAGAGAACACTAGCAGTACAGGACAGAAGGGGCGACCGCCAGCCTCCAACAACTCCTCCCCAGACACAGCGCTACACCTCAAGGAGAGAAGACAAACACCAGTATTAGAAAGTTCAAGAACACACTCCTCAGGTTCACACCAAGTTAGTGAGCAGCAGCAACAGCATCAATCCTCTGAAGAACCATCTCTTGGACATATTGAGGTACAGCATGTTTCTTAAAGGTGCAGTACTTTACTTAAGATTGTCCAGGAATATGTATTATAGTATCATTATGGTGTGCTTGGAGAATATATTGTAGTGTAACCTTAAATATCCTCTGTTGGTGATACTCTCTCCTGGTTTTGTGACTGATGTAAACTAGGGCAACCTGTACTTATGATAAATGGTTAGGTGAATAAACCTTATTGAACTAAAATTCTCAGAAGATTGTTATTGCGATTTTTGCTTTACTTGCTGGATATATTATGTAAAAAAAGGAAAATCTGTATTTCCACATTGGTTCGAACACTGTATTACAGTAGTTTCAGATTGTATTGCTTTGTCTTTCAGGATGTGTTCGTTGAAACCGACATCAAGGAAGAGTTGGTGGAGGACTTGGACGATGGTAATAACTTAAATGCTTCGGTTCCCGCGCTGGACTACCAGAATCAAAGTTCCTCATATAAGGCGGAAGATGCCGGACCCGACTCGGAGGGGGACTGTGGCTTCTCATTACCGTCCGACTACAACAAACAGCAGCCTCTTGAGCACCAGAACATACTCTCTCACTCAACCAATGTACCTGATCTCCCAGTCAACTCTTCAGAAATACAAGGGGTAAGCACGGTCCTGGTTCGTGTATAGAGAACAACTTCTCTTGTAGTGTTGCTGTTTTAACGTTACCAGAGTCATGTTAAAAATGGGAAAATATTTATAGTGGTATGTAAGGGTTAAAAAAAGATTAATATTATGGAAACCGATGACAGATGTACAGCCCCCTTCACTAGTGTGTTTACAGGGGCGCGTCAGGTTTCGTGCAATGTAGCAGCGCTGTGTTTGTTTACATTCGACAGAAGGAAACTCGCAGTAGTAAACATACAATGGAATCAAAGTGAAACATTACCTTTTAAAACAAAAATCTCAATGTAATGATTTGTGAAATGTTTATATGACGAGCCCCTGTAAACGCACTGGTAAAGGGGACTGATAACAGGTATTTTTTTATATTACCTGATATTCTTGTAAAAAAATTTAAAATTGCTAATACCTTTATGTACTGTATTGCTATTTAAGAGTTCAAAATGAAACCAAAAACAAAAACCAATTAGTATTATAGAAATGAATAATAGATATTATACAGTACAGAGATAGTTTTTTAATCAATATTTTTCAAGTTTTGTCTCATCTGTACTTTGTGTCAGGGTAAGATGTTAAAACCTCTTCAAGAAATAGGGTAACAGATGAAAACTAGTATAGAAAGTGACAGGTGAAGAGTAGGTGATAAATGTAAGACTGGTATAGAAAGGGACAGGAAATAAGTATTTTCGTTGTCAGATATTATACTCTGTCTGTTGTGCCACTGTTTACCCTGAGTTAAGTCTGTTTAACAGTGAAATAACTAGTTTGATCTCACAGTTAAGGGGGAGACTCTTCACTTCATATACTCTACTGGGAATATACCTGTGTATCAGAGACGGAGTAAACTGGAGTCATATATCCTTCCCCGTTATATGAAGCTATAGAGGTGTAAGTAAAGTTGTGCCTTGTTCTCAGTGGATGACGGAGGGTCGCCTGGATGGGGAGCTGTCAGTGGTGGAAGGCTACAGCGGGGCGGGGATCCTCGACACATCCTCTCCCATGATCACCCAGCAGCACGGAGCACCTTTACATGAGCAGCAGATGGTTAGTTCTTGCCCTTATATGTGTTATTTTGGTACTTATTGTTGACTGATTGATTGATTGATTGATTGATTTTTTTTTTATTTTTTATTTCCTGTAAGCCTTTACCCACATGGCTCAGGATAGCAGAAATCAAGAGCAAAGTTCTCCCTTCCTTCACTTGTTGCCGATCGTTCTCTCTGGATTAGTTTAATTTTTGTTTGTTTTATTGAACTCCAGATGACTCTTTAGATCTGTGTTAGTTATATCCGTATTTTTATTTTTTACTAATGATAATAAACCCACTTTAAGGTAACGTAAATGGTACAAAGAATAGTTATATCAATCAATTTGTCCAGTTTTATGGGATATCGCTCATGAGTCTTGTAAGCTAACTAACTACAAGAGACTCAACATGGTCATATGCAGAGCTTGTGGACGGACCTTCAGTACTTTGGAAAACTAACATCATGAATTGGGTCAGCTAGAAATCCAGGAAACTTCCTCATATATACAATATTTAAAATATTTCTGAAGCAAAATATTGCATTTTAAAATGTTTGTCTATTTCGAAACAAGTAATTAACATACCTATTTTAGACAAATAACCTTCATTATCCAGATTGCTTTATTTGTTCTGTATTGCAGATTTTGTTGTTGTTGTTGTTGTTGTAGTCTTGCCAATGTTGGCACTTTCCTGTAGCATTTGTACAAGTTTACATGTAATCTTTTCTTTGTTTGGGTTAAGTCCTGGTGCTGAAGGTTCCTCATCACCAGCCACCATGTGTTGGCAAACATTGCCAATAGAAAATATTTTTTCAGTAATAAACACTTATACAGGAGAGACATGGTGGTGTACCTGCTTCTGGAAGTATCTGCTACCCCACTGGCAGGTTGTTTCCATCTCTAAACTGCCAGCGCTTGAATACCTCGGTGATACTTAAGGGGAGCGTCCGGCTTAGATCGAAGAAAATTTAAAAATAAATAATAAATAATAAAATATTAAAAAATTCCTGAGTAAAGGTGTTGCGTATGGCTGTATCTGGATGGAGTTTTATGGCAATACACTATTCGTAATATTTATACAATTATGTATGGTTCCCCACCGCCCCCTACCTACCTACTGTATGTCCCCTTGGGTAGACTTACGAATGATCATGGCAAAATAGTTTTCCCCAAAAATATAGAATAAATAGCAAAAAAAAAATGAAAAAATGAAATTAATTTCAGGCAACTCTCTTCCTCTCTGACGAGTATAGGGAGGGGTAGACAAACAGTCACGTGTCATCAGAAGGTCCCGGACCTTGTCAAGGAGAGGTGTGTACTCTGCTGCACCACACATCTTACCTCACTTGTACTGCTGTACCAGGCTTTTCTCCTTGAATATCGGGATGGCAGGTTTTTCAAATAAAAGACAACAAAAGGAAGCACGTGCAAAGAGCATTGCCAAATCCAAGAGGATGAAAGAAGAAAATATTTACTAAAACTAACGACGGTAACAGCCGTCTCAGGGGGCACCTAAGGCAGCCCAGCCCCAGCCTTCCACCCTTCCCCTCTACCTGGGCTCACAACAAACTAGTTCCCCATACTGCATATATTATCAATATGTTAACTAAATTTTATAATGACTAATAATTTTAATATAAAACATGCACACATATTAAAGAGCACAACCTTATTGATATTTACTCCATTGGAAACGAATGTAAACATAGAACAGATTACTGAATTGGCAGACTAGCCCATCAGCTGATGCTCACAACAAAACGTGACGTTCGTAAGGATTTCATAAATCAAATTTTTGTTCGATAACCAAAGTGAAGATTCTTATGGAAGGTAATTCGTTAACCGAGGGCCCACGGGAAAAATTTTCCCCATCCCCAGGATTTTCCGGGTACCGGAAAATTTTTCTCAGAATTTTTAAAAAATGTGCCCCGTGGAAAATCTTTCCCAGTGCCATAATTTTGCGGAAAATTCCGGCTTAGGGGATGATTTTCTGAGAAAATTTCAATCCGGCTATCGTAGAGTTCCGGGTTTGAGGGATCCCGGCTAACGAAAATACTGTATTACTTTATATATAGTAACATCACTGAGAGTGAGGTAACGGTCCGATAATGAGATGATTCATCAGTGGCTCCAACTTGTTGCTACTTCCACTCGGAACCAAAGTTTCATACTTTTAGGCGAGATAGGATTGACAGTTTTACATTTCTTAGAATACTCATGTTGTACAGATGTAGGAGAGAGAGTTAATCAATGTTTATAATGCTCTGAAGGGCTATTTACACTGAGATGCATTGTGCTGTATATCATCCCATTATTGATTAGTTTATAATGTTGTACCTCATCACTTTGTCATGATCAACGTCAATCAATTTCCTTGGCACTTGACGGGATTATTCCTTGGAATATCTAATTTAGGCTGCCACTACTGTATTTGAGAACATTGTAGATTTGCTGGAATAACAAGATTTTTTGCATTATTTTTATGCAGATAATATAGTTGACCGCATAAATAAAATTTAATCTATCATAATGACATTTAATTTCTTTTACTATGTTATGTTAAAGTAAATATCACCAAGTTTGTTTAAAAATGCTGTACAGGGGAAAGTCAGTAAATGAGGTTGGTAATGGAGACAAATTGATGCCAGGCAGCATCCATAAAATGTGTGGGATTTTTTTTTATCATAGAAAACCAGTAATATACAGTACCTTAGTGAGCTACTGTATACCTATACGTACCAAACAACTGACCAGCTGCGGCAGCACTCATCCCCTCTTTTAACTTATCTAATAATAAAACTTTCTTTGTCAGGGTCATCACTGACTTCTGCCTTTTACATTTCACTCCACGAGCATCACTAGCACTGACACTAGGCAGTCTTTTAGGGGCTATTTCACACAGAAACACTAAAGTTTTGAGAATACAACACGAGATGCTGCCTGGGGTGACTCGTTGTGCTCTGGGAAAAGGCTTGCAAGCTAACCACCATCTGCTAATTGCTGTAATCGCGAATTGCAAACTCGCAAATGACAAGGTTTACTGAACTGTATAAGTCTTGAATCATCCAATATTCAGAAAACTGTTGGGTCAGAACCGGTTTTTGTCACTGCAGTACAATACTATACTTTACTTAATTTTGTGGTGGCTGTTAATAAAAGTGACAAATTGTACGGTATAATGTTTGACCAGCGTTACAAATCCTCTTCATTATTAAAGGGCCATGCGTAGACTGCTGTACAAGTACCAGCGGGATAAATTTATAAGAAAAGAAAATAAGAATCATGTTTTGTGAGGATCAGTGAGCAGAAGTGTGAGTGGTAAATGGCGTCTTTGGTCGTTGAAAGTACCGGGGTAATTAAAGAATACAGTACGTTTATAAGTTGTTATGGTGGAGTTGCTCATCTGACAATTACTGGTTTTTGTGTGCTGTTGCTCTTACTTGTGAACCAGTTACTACAGTACTTACATTAAATCCAGCCAGTTACAAAATTATGGATTCAGTATGACTGGATGTGTGTATACATTTTACTATGTACCATAGTTTAACATTATCCACACCAATGAGAGTTTAGTCATTGATAGGCAAAGTTGTTTTTACCCTTCAGTTCAGACTTGAGCTGCCATTATCACCCATTTACCTGACTGTCTGTCGTTGTTTGTCCGTCCACCCATTTGTCCATTACAGTAGTTTCTATATATAATAAAAATGCCTCTTCAAAAATTACACATGCCTTCCATATCCTCACATTCTTTCCATGGCTTCATATAAAATCTTTCAGATGAAGTTTGAAGATATGTGTCCCTGGCCCACTTGTCCAGGTGGTCTTCTGAACATTTCTTGAAAAATTGTCTGAAGAAGGTTTCATTGTTGTGTGGTGCTCCTCTTAACATGAACGGTGACTCTGAACATGAGTCTCACCTACAACAAGTGGAGATGCACTGGTTAGACTATCATGTTGGATAATATATATTTTGATTATCCAATATCTGGCTTGATGTTTTATTTACTGTCTGTCTGGTGTGCTGGATGCTGAAAATTTTCAGTTATATATACAATTGAATACAGGTTAAACCTCTCCAATCCGGCACCCTTGGGACCAGACCATAGCTGGACCAGAGAATTTTCTGTACCAGGGGTGGTCAATATATTACTGTACTAAAACTGATAACAAGTTCGTGTACTGTACACACAGTCTCGGGAAACGTTGGCCGCCAGGCCATGCACATCATAGCAATGCAGCCCAGCTGGGACGGGGCTCCTTCACATCACTCGCCCGTTTAACGTGCAAACTATTGCGCACATAGAAATGTTTTTACCTTAGGATGATTTTATTTTATTTTAGTTTATTTTTGTATTTTTTGTACATAATGTATGTTGCAGTTTCCAATTACCTGTGGTAGCACTAATTAGAGGTGAACTGGAAGCAACATTGATAAATGTTTATGGGTTAAGTTTTGAAACCCAAATGGTCTTTTCTCCATTTATCAAGAAAATAAACTATTGCACAATAAGTGGGATATCACCATAATTAATCCTATGACCTGTGAGCGTTAATAAGGGACGAAGCTTGGGTATATCAATCTTCTTAAAGCACACGTCTCAGTGGCTCAGAGATGGGAGTTGAACTGGTGATAGCCGGCTACGTAATTGATGACTGCTGCCAAGGTGTGAGGGCACAGTGAGAATACACTGTCACATGTCCACCTGATGACTACTCATGGTTCATAGGAAAGTTACCATGGGTGATGTAATTATTTAAACCTAATGTATCTAACCCATATTTCTATAAGTATTACTGTCTGTTGGACAGGGGCTAATACATGTATGTGGGATTGTGTGTTCATGTAACTGAGTACAAACTATGAGGAAAGTTTCATATACAGGACAGGTATCTACCTGAAATTATGAGTTGAAAATAGCTCACAGCTCAGCCTGGTGGGGAGAGGGCTAAGGGGATGTGGCTACAGTGGCTATCATTCACTGTAAATGATCCATGGAAATGTTGAATGTTAACCC